ATATGATCATAAATGTGAAACAATAATTAGCATAATATAACATCTACGGTTAAAGTAATAATGCTACTTTTTTTACCCGTCATACACCTAGTTTGAAGCATGTCTCTGCTAGTAACGCCCCTTTGATAGCCTTTTATCTACTGACGGTGTTTACAAGTACTTGAATGCTAGAATTTCTCAAGGGACGCACGATTAGATTTTTGCACCGTTTTGTAATTAGGAACCAACAAAATGACCTTAAATAAGCGTCGGACGAGACACGTAACTTAGATAATTAATAGCTATATATTTCATAATTTTATATATAGGTGAATTCTAATATAGAATCAATCTCACGTAAATATTATTTTGTTAACCAAATGCATGTTTGATTGTTATGGTATATGACAAAATACATTTAATGACAACAGATACAAGTCCCAAGTGTAGTATCATAATAGGAGAAATTATTATAGCGCCCGCACTAAAAATAAAAATGAAAAGATAACTGTGAAACACCCTGCACGAAATCGTAGTATTACTAAATAGTTCGAGGTATTTAAGTGCTGCTTCCTTTGGTTATATTTCTTAGAAGACCTGGAACTAGAGTTCTTTTCTTTAAAGGTGTTGTTCATATCTTTAAACCACTCTAGTTCACACTCTTTTTTTTTGTTTGAAATAAATGCTTCTGGTTAATTTGACGCCTTGATTTTACAGCCCTTGAAGATAACACCATGAAATCTGTTTCTCAATTATTTCTTTTAATGTTCCATCAATACACCTCACACCTTACACCAACATACACAATATCCATCTGTAGTAAAACATAAAGAAACAAAATGCAAAAATAACAACTTCGATACATAAGAAAGCTATTATGGTGTGTGTATCTTTTTTTCTTGCTTAAAAAACACCTGACATTGCCATAGGAATATCTTTGATTATATCAATCGTATAGGCATCTTATATACCTGGCAAACCCTTATTGGATTTGAAAAAGAAAAAAATAGCTTATTCCTAGGATTATTTAAGCAAGAAAATTTAATCACTCCTCCCTTAACCCATATTAGAGTAGGGTAGGATACCACACCTGATTTTTCTCATAAAAGGGCTTGTAAGTAGGTCACAACTTCTCGTTCTCGTACTATGCAGCTAGTAGATATCGAGACCGTAGACTTACAAGCCCTATCTGTCTTGGTACTCTGCTGCTCTGGGTAGTTCTACAATGGGCAGCCCAGTCCAATCTCTGATGTCCTCAATTTGTATGGTGTATCTAGGGCTAAGTGTCGTATTACTATGATACACCCTGTTCGAGTCGAACGTGAAACGAAAATGTTGCTACAACCTGAACCCGTTATGATCTTACATCCCGGAGTAAAGGCTTTTGGTCCGCTTTGTTTCTCTTAGTTCCCCTCTTGTTGACCAATATCTCCAGGCCAATATAACCAAACAGCCCCACTATATACAGCGCTATAGCTATGTACAACCGGTAATAAAAACAAGCGAATGTCGAGATAGCCAGAGAGGCAGAGAAGGCGATACATTTGGTCATGTTGTAGGTCACTAGAGCTGGGGGGAGATCTTTCTGGAACACGATAGAGATGATTGAGCTGAACTGAGCTTGTGAGATGCCTTCTGAAATACCAGCCGCTCCAGCTATAGAAAACAGAATGAGTTTTGATCCATCGTGGCCTGGGTTCCAGAACAGCATTGTAAAGAGAAGTCCGGTGTCCAGGAGAATGAAAGTTAAAAATAGAAAAATCCTGCCCAAGTAGCGAGCCAAGTAGTTGGCTAGTGTGGCGAATATAGCGGTGGATGTTCCGTAGGCCATCATGACAAATCCTACCCACTCTACTCCCAGGCTGCACGTGATGAACACGCTGGTGTATCCTGTGAAAAATAAAACAATTTTTATATTTTTAGTTTGTATGATAATAAATAGTTATATTTCAGCTGGCATCCACTGTAAGAATATGTAAATTTTGGGAAGGCTAGAGTAAACAGCTAAATGGTTTCCAAGTGAGTAATACAAAAATAATCATCATTTATCTTCGCAGTTAACTTATTGCAATTATTATATATAATGCAAACTCCATAAGACTTTAATGAAAAGGACAAACGCTTGTGGATTAAAAACAAAGTAAAGTTCCTCTTTAGACCTAGCTTTCATTTGGGCAGATGAAGTTGATTTTATATGTTTCTTGGCCTCAGCATGAGTGTGATCAGCACTATGCCCAGCCACTTTTACTTTCCTCAACGTAAGTCAGGTACCCATCAGAGCTGGGTGGACTCAGGGACGTGAGGCAGACACAAGTCCGAACTAGGATCTACAATCGAGAGCTACGGTTTACCATTCGACTACGCCGTCTATAGCACCAATGAGTACCAAACTTAGAGACGGTATCGTAAAAGCGGCTAAAAAGTTAAATAAAAACATAAACTGATAAGCTTTTTTCGTTAACTTTACTTGCTCTCAGTTCTAAAAATGTTAATTGTTCTTCTAAAATACATTTGTTATTTCTAAATTCGGGGAGCTAAAGTTTTATTTTCAATCACTTTTTATTGAAGTACTAATTTGTGAAATGTAAAATTTATTTTGTGTTTTTTTTAATGTAAGCTTTGCTAATGTAAACTCACCTGTAAATATAACCATCACCATCATGGCCTGTCCCATAACAGCCGGCAACAACAAGGCGAACTCGAGGCTGACTAAAACCTTAAAGCAGCTCATCATCTCCTGACAGACCGACCTCGGCACCGCGGGCTCTGGAAGTCTAAGACGTGGCAGCAGGAACAGCGAGACCAGGAACCCCAGCGCCACACAACCCAAGAAGATTCCAAACAACATATACAGCGTGTCCTGACTTGGGCGCTTGATATGGGAAGATGCAGTAGAGTTGAGGTAACACATATCAGCGCCGCAGGGCGTGGTGTGGTCGAAAGTTGCGTTATCCGCAGAACCAGGGGAGTTAGTAAACAACACAAGCGATGACGTGAGATTTCCCGAGATTTGAGAAGCCTCGAAGAAGGTGAAAAACGCCCCAAAGAAGATGCTGAGAATTTGGTGCCGTTTTTCAGATCCGAGTTTCTTGTTTTTGATGTAGCGGTCGCTGGCTGCTGCTAGGTAGATGTTGTTGATGACACCGATGCAGGTACCACATGCGCCTATCAGGAAGCTGGCAGGAATGAGTGTGGAGAATCTTGGGTAGAAGTTGGCGCCCGCGAACAGGCCCATACTGGCCCAGCTAAGTAGAAGAAGGTTCTTGCATCCAAATTTTCTGATGACGATTGTAGCGAATGGAGCTATAAACAAAAATGATTGGTTAATTTATAAATAGTTGCAGGCTAATCCTACTTGCACATTCTTAATACAGTAAACAAAAATATATTTATAGAATTAACCATGAGTAACAAAAAAAAATTTAATTATGTGTCGAATTTTTTTTTCATATGTTTAAAAATGGTTTATCTTTTCAATCAATTTTTGTATTTAGGATGAATTATTGGTAAATAAAGAGATTTCATACTTTTGTAATTATGTAATCATCAGTCTAAGGAATTCGATAGATTATCGATCTAATCTGCGTATATCGATTGTTAATCCGAGTAGGTGAATTTCACATCTGATTTAGAGATTTGTTTATTTGGCTTCTGTGTATTCGGATACTGTATAATTAAGATATGCGTATTTGGATACTATGTTCTTTTGATCCGTGTATTTGGATACTATATAATTGTGATCTGTTTATTTTGGATTTGTGAATTTAATATCTGTGTATTTGTCATCTGTGTATTTGCGATATGTGTATTATATATCTGTGTAACTGCGATCTGTGAATTTGCGATCTGTGTATTAAATATATGTGTAATTGCGATCTGTGTATTTAATATCTGTGTAATTGCGATCTGTGTGTTTGGGATTTGTGAATTTGGGATCTGTGTATTTGCGATCTGTGTATTTAATATCTATGTAATAGCGATCTGTGTATTTAGGATTTGGGAATTTGGGATCTGTGTATTTGGGATCAGTGTATTCGGGATCTTTGTATATTGTATATTAGATCTGTGTATTGTGGATGTGTATCTTGGATCTCTGTAATTGGCAACCGTGTTTTTTGGACCTCTGTAATTGGGAACCATGTTTTGGGACCTCTGTAATTGAGACCTCTGTAATTGGGATCCGTGTAATTAGGACCTATGTAATCGGGGATCAGCTACTGACCCAAGAGAAACACCGTGGTGTACACTGTAGCCAGCGTGAAGATGCCGAGGTCGTCCTTGTCGTTGATGCTGCTCTGGATGTTCTGGATGCCGTTGTAGGAGGTGTACACCAACAAGTTGGAGATGGATAGCGCCAGGTGGGTTTTTATCGGCGGCAGGTGGTCGTCTGCTGCTCGGGGTGTCGGTTTTGGTGATTCTACAGGGGAGATGGGTCATAAATGGGTTAAAACATGTGTGGAAACTGTGGTTCTACAGGGGAGATGGGTCAAATATGTGTTAAAATACATGTAGAAAATGTGGTGCTACAGGGGAGATGGGTTAAAGATGTGTTAAAATATGTGTGAAACTGGTTCTACAGGGGAGATGGGTTAAAGATGTGTTAAAATATGTGTAGAAACTGTGGTTCTAGAGGCGAGATATTCAAAGATGTGTTAAAATATATGTGGGAACTGTGGTTCTACAGGGGAGATGGGTTAAAGATGTGTTAAAATATGTGTAGAAACTGTGGTTCTAGAGGCGAGATATTCAAAGATGTGTTAAAATATATGTAGAAACTGTGATTCTTCAGGGGAGATGGGTCAAAGAGGTGTTAAAATATGTGTGAAACTGTGGTTCTACAGGGGAGATGGGTTAAAGATGTGTTAAAATATATGTGGAAACTGTGGTTCTACAGGGGAGATGGGTAACAGATGTGTTAAAATATGTGTGGAAACTGTGGTTCTAGAGGTGAGATATTTAAAGATGTGTTAAAATATGTGTAGAAACTGTGATTCTAGAGCCGAGATATTCAAAGTAGTGTTAAAATATAGGTAGAGACTGTGGTTCTAGTGGCGAGATATTCAAAGATGTGTTAAAATATACGTAGAAACTGTGATTCTAGTTGCGAGATATTCAAAGATGTGTTAAAATATATGTAGAAACTGTGATTCTAGAGGCGAGATATTCAAAGATGTGTTAAAATATATGTAGAAACTGTGGTTCTAGTGGCGAGATATTCAAAGATGTGTTAAAATATATGTAGAAACTGTGGTTCTAGTGGCGAGATATTCAAAGATGTGTTAAAATATATGTAGAAACTGTGGTTCTAGTGGCGAGATATTCAAAGATGTGTTAAAATATATGTAGAAACTGTGGTTCTAGTGGCGAGATATTCAAAGATGTGTTAAAATATATGTAGAAACTGTGGTTCTAGTGGCGAGATATTCAAAGATGTGTTAAAATATATGTAGAAACTGTGGTTCTAGTGGCGAGATATTCAAAGATGTGTTAAAATATATGTGGAAACTGTGGTTCTAGTGGCGAGATATTCAAAGATGTGTTAAAATACATGTGGAAACTGTGGTTCTAGTGGCGAGATATTCAAAGATGTGTTAAAATATATGTGGAAACTGTGGTTCTAGAGGCGAGATATTCAAAGATGTGTTAAAATATATGTAGAAACTGTGGTTCTAGAGGCGAGATATTCAAAGATGTGTTAAAATATATGTAGAAACTGTGGTTCTAGAGGCGAGGTATTCAAAGATGTGTTAAAATATATGTAGAAACTGTGGTTCTAGTGGCGAGATATTCAAAGATGTGTTAAAATATATGTAGAAACTGTGGTTCTAGAGGCGAGGTATTCAAAGATGTGTTAAAATATATGTAGAAACTGTGGTTCTAGTGGCGAGATATTCAAAGATGTGTTAAAATATATGTAGAGACTGTGGTTCTAGTGGCGAGATATTCAAAGATGTGTTAAAATATATGTAGAGACTGTGATTCTAGAGGCGAGATATTCAAAGATGTGTTAAAATATATGTAGAAACTGTGGTTCTAGTGGCGAGATATTCAAAGATGTGTTAAAATATATGTAGAGACTGTGGTTCTAGTGGCGAGATATTCAAAGATGTGTTAAAATATATGTAGAAACTGTGGTTCTAGTGGCGAGATATTCAAAGATGTGTTAAAATATATGTAGAAACTGTGGTTCTAGAGGCGAGGTATTCAAAGATGTGTTAAAATATATGTAGAAACTGTGGTTCTAGTGGCGAGATATTCAAAGATGTGTTAAAATATATGTAGAGACTGTGGTTCTAGAGGCGAGATATTCAAAGATGTGTTAAAATATATGTAGAAACTGTGGTTCTAGAGGCGAGGTATTCAAAGATGTGTTAAAATATATGTAGAGACTGTGGTTCTAGTGGCGAGATATTCAAAGATGTGTTAAAATATATGTAGAGACTGTGGTTCTAGTGGCGAGATATTCAAAGATGTGTTAAAATATATGTAGAGACTGTGATTCTAGAGGCGAGATATTCAAAGATGTGTTAAAATATATGTAGAAACTGTGGTTCTAGTGGCGAGATATTCAAAGATGTGTTAAAATATATGTAGAGACTGTGGTTCTAGTGGCGAGATATTCAAAGATGTGTTAAAATATATGTAGAAACTGTGGTTCTAGTGGCGAGATATTCAAAGATGTGTTAAAATATATGTAGAAACTGTGGTTCTAGAGGCGAGGTATTCAAAGATGTGTTAAAATATATGTAGAAACTGTGGTTCTAGTGGCGAGATATTCAAAGATGTGTTAAAATATATGTAGAAACTGTGGTTCTAGAGGCGAGGTATTCAAAGATGTGTTAAAATATATGTAGAAACTGTGGTTCTAGTGGCGAGATATTCAAAGATGTGTTAAAATATATGTAGAGACTGTGGTTCTAGAGGCGAGATATTCAAAGATGTGTTAAAATATACGTAGAAACTGTGGTTCTAGAGGCGAGGTATTCAAAGATGTGTTAAAATATATGTAGAAACTGTGGTTCTAGTGGCGAGATATTCAAAGATGTGTTAAAATATATGTAGAAACTGTGGTTCTAGTGGCGAGATATTCAAAGATGTGTTAAAATATATGTAGAGACTGTGGTTCTAGAGGCGAGATATTCAAAGATGTGTTAAAATATATGTAGAAACTGTGGTTCTAGTGGCGAGATATTCAAAGATGTGTTAAAATATATGTAGAAACTGTGGTTCTAGTGGCGAGATATTCAAAGATGTGTTAAAATATATGTAGAGACTGTGGTTCTAGAGGCGAGATATTCAAAGATGTGTTAAAATATATGTAGAAACTGTGGTTCTAGTGGCGAGATATTCAAAGATGTGTTAAAATATATGTAGAAACTGTGGTTCTAGTGGCGAGATATTCAAAGATGTGTTAAAATATATGTAGAGACTGTGGTTCTAGAGGCGAGATATTCAAAGATGTGTTAAAATATATGTAGAAACTGTGGTTCTAGTGGCGAGATATTCAAAGATGTGTTAAAATATACGTGGTAACTGTGGTACTGGAGTCCAGCAAATTGTGTTTTGTTAAAATACAATGCAAAACAGGCGAGGTAACTATGGTAAAAGTAATAGTGTTAAGAGGGGTAACTCTTCACTTTTTGAAATTAATGTTAATAAAATATACTACTTTTTTAAAATACAATTTTAATGAGATTTTTTTTTTTTTAAAAAGTAATATACAAAATTGAATTAAGAAAAGTTAGCTTTTTAATTCACGGCGGAGAAATTATATTTTGAATACATGTATAATCTGGATTATAGTCACACAAAAAAAAAACAACTAATTCTTGCTTTTATTTGTTGATATTTCCTTATTATAATATTGGATAGGAGGTGAGCGCTAATTTTTTTTTTTTGATCTTTGAAAACTCAAAAAAAATAATTTTTTAAATCATCCAAACACACCATCAGAAACACTGTAAGATATCCTTGTCACAACCCTATGGTTCTGTCGATAATGTTTTAGACATTCTGTATTGTGAATAAGTCAACCAGTTTCAACAAATGTAAGTACGTATGAGGAAGAAGTATTACTATTGTAAATCTGTATCAATCCTCACAAGCCGATGATGAAAACTGTAATACTAAAGCGTACATGGCAAGGTAAACTGACGCTTGTTAATTACATGTCTCAGGCAAAAAAAAGAAAAAGAAAAAAGAAGAAAAAAGAAAGAGAAAAAAAAAAGAAAAAAAAAGAAAAGACGAAAAAAAAAAGATTCTCGATATCTTTGACATTATCCAACAATACCCACCCACCCACCCCACCCCCCCACCCCCCTCTAGGGTACCCCCCCCCCCTAAAAGATAAGAAACATACCTGTTACAACAGTGACCTGTGAACCCTGAAAGCTGGTGCTGGCTTGGAGATTTCGATTGTTCAGACCGCCGTAATATTTCCCTCCCCTTGCACGCTGAAAGCCATTCGCCATGATGTTGAGAGTTGTCACCCCTTGTTGAGCTGGACCGATGTCTTTCTTGAGAGTTGCGGTCCTTGCCTCGTCACCATTCTCAGTTTCATCCATGATTACAAGCAAGCAACTGTCTTAAACTAGACCGTGCTTGTTGTTGTTTTTTTTTTTTTTTTTTTTTTTTGTGAGTCCAAAGAAAGAGAAAACACTAATCTATCAATTAATCTTAAAACAAACTAGTATTTACATGTCTCCTACTCCTTAGAATTGTACGATTCATGTTATATTGCTTACGAAACACATACATTCATTATCCAATGCCGGCACTGATGTAATTTATCAAGTAAGAATTCAGACCAAAAATTAATTCTCACAGCATTGTTTTAAAACATATAGATCTAGTTAGTCCCAGAAAAAAACGTTGAACTAGAGATTTTAAAAATCGCACTAGGAATACTGGATACTTTTTTTTGCTCTTTAGATTGGCACGCGAATGATAGCGAAACAACCATGTGACGAAGACAGTGTTAAGATCACGTGATTTTGGTGACTCCGTGTTTACGGATAGTGGACCGAAGTTTCATTTAAAAACACATTGTCACCGTTATCGAACTATTTAAATATTCCGAGTCATATTTATTCAAGATTTTATTTTTTACTTTACAATACTACCTCGATTATTAATGTATATAGATGCGTTTATGCACATAAGTACACGTATAATACACGTACACGTTTAACCGAAATAGTTTATTTTATTAAAAAAACATGATAAAATAAAGTGTTTTGTCTTATATGATCAATACTTATTTAATGTTGTCTATCGTCAGTGTTTTGTTGAGTTGAGTTATTTGTTTGCTACTTAGTATTTTTCACTCATAAAACCCCCACAGTCTGAATGATAACTCTGAAATCAAGTTAACATGGAAATATTTTGTATTTATTTTTTAGACTGCTAAAAACAACAACAAAATATTTTAATTGTTTGAAATAAAGGTTTTTTTTTTAAGATTCGCCCAATTTTTTGGTTCCGTAGACAATAGTTTACAAATAACAAAATTAGTTACTAAAAGCTAATGTTGTCGCACAATTTATCTTTCCCTAAACAAGCGCACAAAAAATACTTATCCACACGTTTTCGTTTGAGGTATTTCAAAAATAAAGTCAAGCTTTAAGTCATATCTATCTTAAACTGAAGTCATTCTTTAGCCTATTAAATTTCAAATTTCTACTTTTGAAATAGCCACTGCTATCTAAAATCTTAATTAAGCTTAACCAATTTTAATATATTGTTCTATTTTATTACAATTTACAAATGTCCTAATTATCCTACCCCCCCCCCCCATACACACACAAACACCGCCACACACACCAATTCTCTGAGGAATGTGACGTCATGTATGGGCGGCTCCCTATGTATTAATGTTCTCAATGAATTGTGGGCTGTACAGAAATATCAGCGAAGGAGATGGATCCCAAAAGTGCACACACATTCAACAATGTATGTGTCCAAACTTTATCCGTGACAGCTGATATCGAAGTCGTTGATCGTCATTTAAACGACGCAAATAGTGTGTTGATCAGCTGATTGGGTAACACAGTTATTAAACAACACTGACGTATGTTATCATTTGACATATTTTTGTTTCCTAATCTATTTGACCTACACTACTGTTGGCATTGTTGCGTAGTGTGTAGGTGAGGTAATAAAAATTTAATTTGTTAAATATTTTAAAATAGTTAGGAATGCCATGGTTGAATGGTAGCGCATATGACTGAAACCCCGTAAGTCTCGAATCCGGGTTCAAGTCTGTAGAACGTCCCTGAGTCCATCCAACTCAGATGGGTACCTAACTCACGTTAGGGTAAGTAAAGGCGGCTGGGCATAGTGCTGGCCACACTATCCCTTCATATGCCGAGGTCACAGAAATAGGTGAACTCTACTTCACTTGCCCCATGGACTGTCAGGTTCGAAAGGAAATTTTACTTTAATGTTTTCTCCACACATATATATATATATATATATATATATATATATATATATATATATATATATATATATATATATATATATATATATATATATGTGTGTGTGTGTGTGTGTGTGTGTGTGTGTTATATATATATATATATATATATATATATATATATATATATATATATATATATATATATATATATATATATATATATATATATATATATATATATATATATATATATAAAATATGTGAAAGAAAAACAATAATGTAACAATATCTATCAAAATAACAAGAACGACCACTCTAGTGCAAACAAGAGCTCAATGGGAGACCACCTTGCGGCCAGCGAGAACAAAGAACATGCCCGACAAAAGACGTCAAGTGAAGTTCTCGATTGGCGTGTCAGCTTTCTGGTATTGAACTCTGTTTATTGATCTGATAAACAGGATTTGTTAATTCCCCACAGCGAAATAATGTTAACAGCAAATACCCTACTTCATAGGCGGAGGCGTGGGAAGGGATGGAGAGGGTGGACAACATCGAGTGACGCCATTTAGGGAAGTGACAACATTGTTAAAAAAAATATGGCAAAATATATTGGGGGGGGGGGGGGGGGTGGAAATGCTTTTTCCTGCTCAGTTAATAAAAAAATAGAGATAAATAGGCTTAGTGCAAATTGACAAATGCCCGACCTGAGAGGAAGAAGGGTTGGGGGGGGGGGGTCGAGGGGGGTGGGGTGACGCCATGACATAAATTTGCTATAGTAATAAAATTTTTAAAATAGGCTACAACAAGCTGTATTATTAACCGACTATAGATAAACGTTACTATTGACTGTAAACAGCTCAAGGCTGTCAACTAAAAATTTCGCAAAATATACAGTTTCTAAACTGTTTTGTTGAGTATTTTCAATGACTGAAACGTCAATCAGTGACCGGAGTGGGGGTGACACCACATTTAATAATTTACTATGAAAACAATTTTGTTCCGCTCATTTAAAGAAATAGGTGGATTAATATAATGCGTGCACAAATTAACGCCATTAAACTAAATAGGAGGGGGGAGGCGGAGGGGGTGGGGAGTGACGCCAATTGCGACTTTCACATAACAAACCATGTACTGTTAAGAACGTAATACACCGTCCACAGCAGTGGATGGGGGGGGGGGTGACACCACATTGAATTAATTGCAAATCAACATATCATTCGATACTGGGACCTGACTGTTATATTCCGTATCAAGCACATTATTATACAACAGCCACCGAATGTGAATGTGTTTGTGTGTGTGCGTGTGTGCGCGTGTGTGTGTGGTGTAGTAGTAGTAGTAGAGTGCAAGTGACACCACTAAAACAGGATTTGTAAAATTAATTCTACAAGTTGGCAGTAACTTCCCTTATGTCGATACTAATACATACGTTTTAGTATTGATTTGATGTGAATGATTTGTGATATGATTAATGGGTTAATTTTGTATTCATATTAATTAAAAGTTATGTCTGTTTAAACCCTGCGAAAGGCTCTCTCAAATTTGACAAGTCAGGTGCTTGAGTGGAACCCCCAACAAATGGGAAAGAGAAATAACCCAAGACAGACCTAGAGGAGGAGTCTTGATGAAGAACTAAATACAGCTTGATCGGGAGTAGAGGAGAGGGGGGATGTCACCCTTAGGTTGTGAACCATGTGACATTTGACCTAGCGACGTATCCGAGTTCGAATATTGCAACACTACAAGGGTCAATACCATTAAGCAAATGGATGTATTGTATAAACTGTTTCAATGGTTAACATCAGCAACCAGTGGCGTAGACAGCATTTTCTATTTAGTTTTTTAATATTTCCATCAATTTATATATATACATATATATATATATATATATATATATATATATATATATATATATATATATATATATATATATATATATATAAATATATATATATATATATATATATATATATATATATATATATATATATTTATATATATATATATATTTATATATATATATATATATATATATATATATATATATATATATATATATATATATATATATATATATATATATGAGCAATGTAAATAACCTGACAATTTAAAGCTGTCTTTTCTTATAGGCAGTTTTTTTTAAATCCAACACTGAAATAATCAAAACGTGAAACTTTTGTTATTTTGGGGGTCCATCGGGGGTCTATGTGGGGTTCTACTCCAAAATATTAACGCCCCCTTACCAACGCCTCTAACTGTACCTCGTCGAAAGAGATTGCTTTTTTAGAGTTGCCATTCATCGACCAAATGTGGATTTCGGCCAAACACATCGGGTAAAATATCCGTTTCGTCTAGCGGTGAAGTGGCTGGTTGTTTAGCCCTTTGAAAATGAAACCCCAATAAATAATTTCGGTTATCGATTAGATTTACGATCACAACACGATGCTTTTACATGTTAGCAATGTTTTTGTTATTGAAATGGGGGAATGCAAGTATGCGTGATGTTGTTCTGATGCTGTTTTATGGCTTTGATTACGTCATGTTACTACATGCTTAGTAATAAAGGTTCGGGAGGAGGCTCTGTGGGCCACTTACAGACATGTTAAGTTATGAGACACGAATGTTAAAGAAGCAAAACTATGTTACATTAAATATCATAAATATTTAATTTAAGATCAAGATTTTCGTATGCAATATAAACGCTAAAGATATGCGCGTTTTTTTTTACAATTATTAAGCCCACCTGTATAATTAACTGAAAAGTATCAACAATAATAATCTCATTTTAAAAATTAAACCTGTTTCTTTGCAATTAAAACTGCATACTTTTCCAGGCATTCAATTAAGGGTTAAGTCTTTAAAAATCTGCAGTTTTTTTATACAATGATTACAATAGCGAAAACGTGAAATCTTATAAAGTGATGGCAAAAAGTGATCTAGCTCTATGAAAAATAATATTTTTTAGCGCATCAAAGCCATGTGCCCTCTGTAATGAACATCGAAATGTGTTAAAATTGATTAAAGAGTAGGCCTATATTAAATTGTAAAAAATAACATTCATCTAAACTGTGTGGACTATATTTATAGTAACATGATAGAATATTTCTTTCTTTCTTTCTTTCTTTCTTCCTTTTTTTCTTCCTTTCTTTCTTTTTTTCTTTCTTTCTCTCTTTCTCTCTCTCTTTTTATGTGATATATATATATATATATATATATATATCTTTCTTTTTTTCTTTCTTTCTTTCTTTCTTTCTTTCTTTCTTTCTTTCTTTCTTTCTTTCTTTCTTTCTTTCTTTCTTTCTTTCTTTCTTTCATTCTTTCTTTCTTTCTTTCTTTCTTTCTTTCTTTCTTTCTTTCCTTCTTTCTTTCTTTCTTTCTTTCTCCTTCTTTTCTTTCTTTCTTTCTTTCTTTCTTTCTTTCTTTCTTTCTTTCTTTCTTTCTTTCTTTCCTTCTTTCTTTCTTTTTTTCTTTCTTTATTTCTTTCTCCTTCTTTTCTTTCTTTCTTTCTTTCTTTCTTTCTTCCTTTCTTTCTTTTTTTTCTTTCTTTCTTTCTTTCTCTCTCTCTCTCTCTCTTTTTATGTGATATATATGTTACCGAGTCTATTTGCTTGTAGTGCCAAATGTTACCGATTTCACTGCTGACAGAGCCAAATGTTACCGAGTGTATTTACTCGTGCTACCTTTGACCAGCACACAACATCGACCACAATATAGATACTCGGAAATGCAGGTTTACATTGATCTCTTTATTACATGAATCAATAGAAATGCTCCACATAACAATGCACCAATGTTCCACAAAAATACAATGAACCAACTGACCCCCACTGTCCTCACTAGTCCTCACATATCAGAATGCACGTGTCCCGCGTTCCTATTCTCCCAACTAACCACACGTCTACACAGTTCAGTCTCCTACTTGATACTCCCTTCTCAACTGTCTCCTTCCTATTTTATCTCCTCGTATTCGTAATCGTATTCGTAATCGTATTCGTAATCGTATTCGTAATCGATTCTAATCGTTGCATCAGAATATTAATTGCGCAGCTCTGTCGTACCATCCGATTATTAGACCACCTGCACTGTTGCGTCAGCCCAGTTTGGCCTTGGTCATGTCAAAGTTGACAGACTGTAATACGTTCTTATCGTCCCTGGTAACTCCACAAGTTACATATATATATATATATATATATATATATATATATATATATATATATATATATATATATATATATATATATATATATATATATATATATATATATATATATATATATATATATATATATATATATATATATATATATATATATATATATATATATTATAATAACATGAAGAAAATATCTCGAACAAAATATCTCACAGCATTAAAATTTTATTATATTTCACTACAAACTTACTTCCATTACTTGAATGGGATCATAAATAATGATGGAGGTTATGCCGGATGGGGAGAAAAAGTGGACGTATTTCTGGACAAATTGATGATTGATGTAAATTAGAAATGCGTCACTACGGACGAGAAAGTGGACATGAAATAGTTGACCTATTGCAAAAGACGTCACGTTAAAATTTAGCTTGATCTCCTTTTTAAAGACACCGTTTAGCATGGTGTTCATAGTCACGTAGGGTAGAGTGGATACTCGGGTTCTGAACTCCAGTAATGTACTGCCAGTGGTTTGAATGAAGTGGAATCTGAAACCATTTGAACTGGTGTAGAAGGCCTGTAAGTAAACCTAAAACATGAAAAATTGAAGAAAAAGGTAAAACGTGTATTTTGGGTCTAGAATTAAGTAAACATTTTAACAGTGTATGTGATTAAAGAATTGGAAAATGTATATCTTTAAAAGGTGCTTAATACACAAACAGTTATGCTATTAATGTTGTGTGAGTTAGTGTGTAATGGTGTAGTGGTGTGTGCGTGTCAACAACAATTGCCCAAAAAAATGAACACCCTAATGCGACAATTTCCTGAACGTGTCGTGCCTCTGGGCCATTTGCCCGATAGGATCATTGCTCAACAAAAAGGTAAAGATAGAAAATTATAAAAATACTTTTTCGGGAATTCCTTTATTCGAACACACGTCCTTTCGGGGAAATGACAATTGATAAAGTGAGGGGTTTTTTTTTCAGAAAAGTGTCTATTTTAGTCCCTAAAAATACCCCATTTTGATCTTTTAATAAGTAAGTAGGTAAGTTAGTAATGTACCCTTTTGAACCTGGCTGTCTTTGGGGCAGGTGAGTTAACTTTCACCCGTTTCTGTGACCTCGGCATACGAAGCGATAATGTGGTCAGCACTAAACACAGCCGTCTGTACTTTACCCAACGTGAGCCAGGTACCCATCAGAGCTGGGTGAACCCAGTGAGGTCCTGTTATGTGTACTTATGGGGAAGGGGCTGTGTGTAATGCTAACCACACTATGTTTTCACGAGACAGACGAGACCTTTGCCATAAAAATGAGAAGTCAATGGGCTTCTCAGTGTGTCAGCTTAAATATGCCATTTTAACATAGCTTAGTTTATTTAGTAACTTAAGCTAAGCTGTATTCAAGCTGTATTCAATATACACATTGATTTGTCCTGAGCATAAAGATGGTCTTAGGGTAACACATCCTATTACTGTACATATCTGAACACTGCACAGGGTTGTGCATCGCAGCAAAACACTGTTCTCTCGTATAGCTGATGAAAATACATTTAATAACACACAAAAACTGTATCAACTAGCCATCAAATACCAATATGTTTTTCGACAGTCAATTTTATATACATGTTAACTTTATACCTTATTTGGTTGGGTTTTATTTTTCTAATAGAATGTATGACTTCGCATATTGCATGTGATTTCTTCATTGGCCACAATATGGCCCACGGTTCGTGTGTATGGACAGCTCTGCAATGAATCTTCTTTATCAACCTGACCATATCAACACGAACCACTAGTGGTAATCATGCTAGGTATGGGATGGCGTGGCCTAGAGCGCTAGACTACTGACCGTAAAGTACCGAGTTCAAATCCGGGTTCAAGTCAGTTTAGGAAGTCCATACGTCCACACAACGCTGATGGGGTACTTGACTTACATAAAGGCGGCTGGGCGTAGTGCTGGCCACACTATCCCTGCATATACCGAAGTCACAGAAACAGGTGAACTCTACTTCACTTACCCAATGGACCGTCAGGTTTGAAAAGGGAACTTTACTCACTTAAAAATCATATTAAATGCCATCCCTTCCCTTTAACATTGACATATATATGACAGTTACATGTGACTCACCCAAGTACCTGCCTTTAGACCACTCAACCCATCTAAAGTCTAACACTGATCTATTGACACTCACCCAAGTACCTGCCTTTAGACCACTCAACCCATCTAAAGTGAACTTGGCAGCATAGGTAGTTATGACCACACCGGTCTCCTTACGCTCTCTGGGCCAGTAGAAACTCCCGTTACCAAACTGTAGCTCCATGCTCGCATTCATAGGACACGTAAAACATTGTCGGGATTCGTAACTTGAAGCAGAGCAGTTCGAATTAGACGAACAACGGGCTGTACATTCCAGTAATGATCGAGAAGATTCGAAAGTCTCACATTGTCCCGTGTGAACGTTATAACGCGAGATTAATCCACCAGAAATGGAACGAGTTGTCAGGTAAAACAACTGAAGCATCAAGACTTTAACAGCAACGTTTCTGGCCATCATTGAATGAGAATATTACTCATTATATTATTCAAACAAGTTTGTTCTTTATAATTTTCACACTGATAAACATCGAAATGTTTTTATACCTATGATTTTGAAACAAATCTTAGAGCATATATTTTTTTTACAAAAATAATTTTAAAGTTTTTTATCTTCAAATTAAAATAAATTCATTAATTTATTTACATGGCTGTAGTTTTGGGTGAAAAAAAATAATGCCAGTCCTTAGAGTTCTTTCTAGTCGACTAAGCACACTCACAAAGTTAAGCTGTTTATAAACAAATCTAAAAATTAAAAAAAACCTTAGTAACAACGAACCATTCGATTTTATCCCAGTCCGTAAAAGCTATAGCATGGAACTCATATTGAACCATCCATAAAAGGGAAATAAATCGAGCATTAATAACAATGGCTTTTAGATTTATTGGAAAATCTTTTCTCCGGGTGAAATCTTTATTTATATCAGCAACAGCCAGCCTTGATGGCAGAAATATAGATGTAATATCGGAAATCAAAAGATTGGGTTTATCGCAGTAGGCTATTTCACACACTTTATGTAGTGTCGTTACATAGTTCCGACAAATTCCGTGCCTATAGACTGTTTAGCTTATACGTAAACCAGGCACTCTCCCTGCCCCTCTCTAAAAAAAAAAACTCTAATTCTAATGAAAATAAGTATTTTAAAAATTATTTTAAAGAAAATACAAATATAAAGAACCTAATGCTACATTCCTCGTTTTATGTGGCACCACATCTTACCTTACCTTGTCTTTGGTGAATGAAGTCTGAATCATTTCCGCCTATGTGAATGAAGTCAACTTTTGACGAGTCCCCAACTGTCATTAGTGGAAAATGTAGGCCCTTATTGCCTATGATAATATACTATCATCATCATCATCATCACATTTCCTTTGTGGCCCCTGGGGAGCAAAGGGCTGCAACCGCACATTTCCAGCGGACTCGGTTTTGGGCTGCTCCCTTAATCTGTGCCCATGTGAAAATTTAGGCACTTATTGCCTATGATATTATATCAGATAGGGCCAAATATGGACCAACATTTTGTTTACCTATTTATTTTGTAGATTGTCTAGACTTATTTTTTTTAAAAAAAAACATATATAAAAACAGTCATAAAAGTGATTTAATGTACAGACAAGAAGTGTTTTAACAAGAATACTCTGGTGTATATGTTAGAAAAGTAAGAGCACATATAAACAAGAAGTGATTTAACAAAAATACACTTAAAAATAAGTGCACATAAAAAAGAAAGTATTTTAGTTAGAATACGCAGGTGTAATCTGTTAGATAACGAACCAAGACCATCTAATACGATAACATGACATTAAAAATTCATGAACACGGCTCGTTATCTAAGACGGTGTGCATGTTCGGCTTGGCCATGACAATCATTTTATTTACTTTACTAACAGCCGAAATCACTAACTACTAAGTTTTTTTTTTTAAGTAAATTGTTTATTTCGTATAATGATGGATGATGCAGGGGATGAACAGAGGATTGGAGATGTGACACACAACGCTGTCTTGGTGACACAAGGGGAGAGTACTGTAGTGTCAGCTGGACAACAAGGGAGGCAAATCCAGTACGGGAGTGTCAGTGAAAGGGACCAGCCGAGCACAAGTATCCAGGCCAGTGATTCTCATGTTATAACAGGTACTGCTCTTGTCAACAAATATTTTTAATAAAACTTTAATTTTTTTAGGGGTAGCTATACATTTCAGCATAGCTAGGAGAGGATGGTGATTTTTGTTTACCTTTATTTCTATAGGGCCTACTAAATAAATCAATATAGCGTTGAGATAAATATAGTATTACAGATTGATCCATTCCTATACCCAAAGCTAGTTATGGCAAAGCATGATCAGTTTTTTGTGAATAACATAATAAATAGTTCTTTTAACTATTGTAACATAGCCAAATAAAGGTGAGCACTAGTGCCAAGCTGTTACTAGTTTAAAGAATCGACATCTGGAAATTAGATCTTTAAATATCAAAATGGGGAGTTTTAAAATTAATCTTGCTTTTAAAATTGCGCTATCTAAAATATGGATTTTTAATTTTAAGTCTAAATTTAATTATTAAAAGTGGCAAAAATGTGTGAAATATATTTTGAATGACAAGTACTTGTAACTAAAGGTAAAACTCCTCATGTGGAACACTAAAAAAATATTAGCATCGTTTGTGTTTTGTTTACATTTTCTCTCGGTAGTGTTTGTGTTTAGTTTACATAATGTCTTTGATTTTAACTTAATTTAATTAATTAATTTATTTTTTTATTTGTTAACGTTAGTTGTCTTGCAAACTTTTTTTTGAAAAAAATTACATTTTAAATTGCAATAGTCTGTTTTGTTTATATTTAGATTTATTTTGATATAAACTTTGGAAGTCACAAAGAATGTATTGGCCACGAAAACAAAATTTAAGTGTCAGTTTATTTAGGATCAGCTATGCCAAAATGTCAGTGTGCAGATTTTCAACATTAATTTGACATTTTCATTCAATATAAGGTCAGGTAGAGGTTTCATTTCCTGGTATTAAAACTATCATTAAAGCTATTCAGTTGTATTTTAGGCAAATAAAAACTACCATTTTTTTCATTTAGGGATCGTCCATAAATGACGTCACACTCGGAAGGGGGGGGGGGATCCGTAATTTTGTGACGGTGTGTGACGAGGGGGAGAGGGGGTTCAGATGGTGCGACGTCACACTTTTGCCTTTTAAAAAAGCAATGTTAGAAAACTAATTTTAGACGATATTTCGCGTTTTAGAAAACTGTTTTAATAAATTGCAATAGGAATTGATTAAAATACTCTATTTTGACAGAGTTCAGACAAGATTTTTGAAAAATATCGATGTTTTAAGAAAAATTCAACTGCAATTTTGAGAGGGGTAGTAGGCTGAGGTGTGACGTCATTTTGGGGGGGGGTCTGGCTTTTTGTGACGATGTGTGACGGAAGGGAGGGGGGAGGTAAAAATCGTCAAAAAAGCGTGACGTCATTTATGGATGACCCCTTATTTATTTAAATATGTATTTCCAGAATCTCAATCGCTGGATCCTAAGCAATTAGACAGCCACCTACCACCCATACAAACACTTATGGCACTCTCCGTCTCCTTTCTGTTCATCTCCTCTGCAAACAGCGGCATCCAAAGTCTACAGAGCAGTGTCTATGAGAAAGACAATTTGGGGCTCATTAACATGGCCTGCGTTTATGCAGCAACTTTTCTTTCTGGTAAGTAGAGCTTACACACAATAGCTGGCCTTTATACAAGTTTTCTTTCTGGTAAGTAGAACTAGCACACAATAGCCGGTCTTTATACAAGTTTTCTTTCTGGTAAGTAGAGCTTACACACAATAGCCGGCCTTTATACAACTTTTCTTTCTGGTAAGTAGAACTAGCACACAATAGCCGGCCTTTATACAACTTTTCTTTCTGGTAAGTAGAACTAGCATACAATAGCCGGCCTTTATACAACTTTTCTTTCTGGTAAGTAGAACTAGCATACAATAGCCGGCCTTTATACAACTTTTCTTTCTGGTAAGTAGAACTAGCACACAATAGCCGGCCTTTATACAACTTTTCTTTCTGGTAAGTAAAACTAGCACACAATAGCCGGCCTTTATACAACTTTTCTTTCTGGTAAGTAAAACTAGCACACAATAGCCGGCCTTTATACAACTTTTCTTTCTGGTAAGTAAAACTAGCACACAATAGCCGGCCTATATACAACTTTTCTTTCTGGTAAGTAGAACTAGCACACAATAGCCGGCCTTTATACAACTTTTCTTTCTGGTAAGTAGAACTAGCACACAATAGCCGGCCTTTATACAACTTTTCTTTCTGGTAAGTAGAACTAGCACACAATAGCCGGCCTTTATACAACTTTTCTTTCTGGTAAGTAGAACTAGCACACAATAGCCGGCCTTTATACAACTTTTCTTTCTGGTAAGTAGAACTAGCACACAATAGCCGGCCTTTATACAACTTTTCTTTCTGGTAAGTAGAACTAGCACACAATAGCCGGCCTTTATACAACTTTTCTTTCTGGTAAGTAGAACTAGCACACAATAGCCGGCCTTTATACAACTTTTCTTTCTGGTAAGTAGAACTAGCATACAATAGCCGGCCTTTATACAACTTTTCTTTCTGGTAAGTAGAACTAGCATACAATAGCCGGCCTTTATACAACTTTTCTTTCTGGTAAGTAGAACTAGCATACAATAGCCGGCCTTTATACAACTTTTCTTTCTGGTAAGTAGAACTAGCATACAATAGCCGGCCTTTATACAACTTTTCTTTCTGGTAAGTAGAACTAGCATACAATAGCACGCCTTTATACAACTTTTCTTTCTGGTAAGTAGAACTAGCATACAATAGCACGCCTTTATACAACAAGTTTTATGGGACGGCGTGGCCTAGCCGTAGAGAGCTAGACTGCTAACCCGAAAATCCAGAGACCGAATCCAACCATCTCTGATGGGTACCTAACTAGGGCTCTGAAACAGATGAACTATACTTCATGATGTCATATGTGTCTTTTGCACGAACGGGAAAAGATGATAAAGTAGAATTTACGCACAACAAAGTTTCTGTCTTGTTACCAGAACTAACACACAACACAGTCTGCGTCACACCCAAGATTGTGTAAATGCATTTTTATATTTAAAAGAAAATCATTCAAACAAAAACTTTTTTAAAGTCATGTTAGTCAAACATTCAAAACCGCTTTTTTTACTGTTTCGTATAGTAATCTGAGAAGAAGTTTTGTAATTGTGCTAAAAACTTAGTTTTCCAATCTTGTCTGTGCGTCTATCTGTCTGTCTATCGTGTGTGTGTGTGTGTGTTCGAATACACGATAATTTGAGCACCATTTAAGTTAGGTTGTCTAAATTTCAAATATGTGTAGTGTATCAAAGCTATACATCTCTGTTAAATTATTGAATGATTTATTTAAAACTTGTTAAAGAGCTATTCTTTTTTGTTCTTGCCAGTGCCCTTAGTTACGAGTGCCGTGAGAAAATTCGGATGCAAGAACCTGCTCTTACTAACCTGGATATGCCGTAGTATTTTTGTAGGTGCCAACTTTTATCCCAGATTTTACACCCTTATCCCAGCCAGTATCTTAAGTGGTGCATCTTCCGTTTTTATAGGAACCACAAGAAATCTTTACATCAATGCCGCGAGCGACAGCTACATACAAATTAAAAACTACGCACAAGAAAAGCGGCACCAAATCCTCAGTATTTTTTTCGGTGTTTATTTTGCTTTCTTTGGAGTCACACAAATCGCAGGCAATATGGTGTCATCGTTAGTGCTGTATTCAAACGCAGATGTTCGGTCAAATAACACGAAATCGGAGCATTGTGGAGCAGAGATTTGCTTTGTTAATTCTACTGCAAGCAACTTCATACAACACCCAAGTCAGGAGACGCTCTACATGCTGTTTGGGGTCTTCCTGGGATTTGTTGTCATTGGTTTCTTGGTTACGTTAATATTTTTACCGCGCTTCACCCCGCCCCAGCCTGCAGTGGCCAGGTCAGTTTGCCAGGAAATTGCCAGCTGCTACAAGGTTTTGGCTAATGTCAAGGTTGATCTGTTTTTACCTGTCCTGATGGCACAGTCGATGATGCTCATGATTATGTTAACAGGTATGGAGAAAGTGTATTGTATAATAAATATCTAATGTATATGTCCTTACTTTTTTTTTCAAGGATTATATATGCTTATTTAACTTATCTTAAAAAGTAATCTTCAGTAACTTTTTTAAAATAATGTGTAAACAATAGATTTTTTTTAAATTGTTATATATTAATGTATGATTATGTGTAGTTGCAGTGAAATTGAGGGTTAAACGGATGTTCAGCAGGATAGTTTCTTTTCTCAATTTCCGTTGCTTCCTGGTGGAATTCTGCTATCCCTTTCTTCATCCACATCGAACCAACTTATTTGTTTTGACTTGGTACATAAGATAGTTCCTTCTAAATCTTTGATGACAATGCAATAGTCTAAAATTGAATTACAAGTTCAACACTTTTTAAATTTAAGAATGCTATATAAAGATTAAAAAGGGTAAAATAACCAATGATAAGGGAGATTGTGTTACACAAGTTAATTGGATTTTTGGTGAAATTTGAATAAGCTTTAAGAAATTGTAAACTTAGTTACTGAACGTAGTAAAACACTGGCGTTTCTCTAGCATGTACATACAAAAGTATAGTAAATTGCATTTTAAAGTGCACACTCCAACTATTTAACTAGCTAAACAATAAATAATCCTGGTACAATATTAATTTTTTTTTTCTAAAATCATTTTGCTCTTTTGATTATTATAACAAAAATTTTAAAGCAAGTTTTTTATAACGTTTTTAGTTATTTAATTATTCAAATTTTGTATTTTTATTTTTATTTTATATAATAGAATATGTGAAGCATTTACTTACGATGGTAGTTCATTCTAAAAACTAATCGAATTAATTGAGTAAAATCATTACCATATAAAGCTACTAAGCTGTTTATAAAAGAATGAAACATATGGTTCAGTTATAAACGTAGTTCTGTCTCAGTAGCGTACGCAGGGGGGAGCAGGGGGAGCGGCCGCTCCCCCTCTGGCCATTTTCAGCAAAGTGGCGCCTTTTTGGAAACTTTTTAAACTCAAAGTTTTAAACAATGATATTTGTTAAAAAATATTTTTGGTCGGCACATCTATGTAAATCACAAGATTTCTTTTCATGCAGCAATTAAGCATTATTGCAATAGTCTAGTAGTGTTTACGTTTACAACACGTATTAACAGCTGCATCAGTTTGCCATTCTAAAAATAAGAATTACGATGCATTTAAATGTTTAAAAAACCTCTACGGGTAGTACCACTTGGCAAGATGGGTGTTAAGTTTAAGGCGACTGGATAATGTATTTGCTTTCGAATAATTGAATTAGAAAATGTTAAACATAAAACTTCACACATAATTACTTTATATATACAGTTTGAATCGTGTGATTAATTTTTAAAAAGATTACAATACAGAAACAAAAACAACTGATGTGGCACCTCTATTTAAATTTACTTATGGGCGAAATGCGTAGCGGTGGGGAAATTTTGACAAGGTCAACAACGTCATCACGATGAAGTAGTAGTATTCTTACAGTTTGGGCGATAATGATTACGATTACAAATTATATGAAACAGTTACAACCCCCTCCCCCATGGACCCCTCTGTAAAAAAAATATTGTCATAATACCACTGCTACTTATTTAAATCTATTTCTGTAATATATATATATGTGAGTAATATATATGTATGTTTAGAACAGTCATCTAAGAACTGACGCTATTTTCACTCTGAGTTAGTTATCCCTTCCCCCCCCCCCCCCCCCGCCACACACCTCACCACCACAATTGTGTAGAGCGACATTAATGTCACACCATGGTATACACTGGGTTGGATAATTGACCTAAAGTGACCGGACAGTGGTGAATGAAATTGAACCCATCCCCTCCCCCCAAACCACCCCGAACTGATCTGTTAAGTACATGTAGAAAAACGTGTAATGATGTACCAAAGTACCATGTCGCCAGAAAATTAGCTTTTTAAACGTAAAACTCTGTGAATATTGTTTTTGCAATTACCAGAAAAAAGGTGTGTGATCAATACAGTGATCTAACCCATACCTATCACTATGTTAAAAAATGATCTGTAAAGAACACAAAGGAGCAGTAGTTAATTAAATATATATGATCTGAACTAAAAAGAACGGTATTTAGTTAAATGTAGGCTGTTATTCCGAATGTTTTCCTTGTAAGTCGAAAAGCGTGGTTTTTATACCAACTCTGATTTTAAGAACTTTCATTATGCTGTAATACTTTAGCATTTATGATGACGATATATTAAATTATGATTATAGACAAAAACATTTGTAAACACAAATAGTGTTAAACAATTTCATTATATTCTAAAGTAATTATTTATTTGTTTTGACATTTATAATTAAATGTGTAGATATATACATATTTATATTAAGAGAGTGATTATGTCCCCTATTTCACTAGTCTTAAATAATTTCCCAGGAATCATTATGTAAGAATTTTTTTTACAAGAATTACAAAATAGATTGTGTTACGTTCATTGATTTTGGTTGTAGTCTGTGTATATTTTTTTTTGTTTAGATTGATACAATTTTTTGTTTTGTCGGCCTACATTGTGTGTTTTTTCTTATTTCTTCAGAGTGCTACTTTCAATTTACTTTACATCATAGCGCAGTAATGATATACAGCTAGTAATTATATATATATATATATATATATATATATATATATATATATATATATATATATATATATATATATATATATATATATATATAATACCCGTATATAGAACGTGTTAAAAATTCGGCGCCTTTTTTGCTCTTTTCGCTCCCCCTAAAACGAAAACCTGGATACGCCTCTGTTCTGTCTATCTAAAGAAAGGTAACAATGTATAAATTCTCTATTTCTTTAGGATTCACAGAATACTTCATCACCTGCAGCCTGGGAGTAGAGTGGGTAGGATTTGTCATGATGGCCTACGGAACATCCACCGCTATATTTTCAGCCCTTGCCAACTATCTGGCTCGCTACTTGGGCAGGATTTTTCTATTTTTAACTTTCATTCTACTGGACATGGGCCTTCTTTTTTTAATGCTCTTCTGGAACCCAGGCCATAATGGATCAAAGCTTATTCTGTTTGCTATTGCAACAGTTGCTGGACTTACAGAAGGAATATCTCAACCACAACTTAACTCCTATTTTACGGTTCTCGTTGAAGAAAATTTGACTTCAGCGACTGCAACGTTTATTATGGCAAAAAGTATTGCCTTTTCAGCTTCATTGGTTATTTCAACATTTACTTGTTTTAACTATCGCGTGTATGTAGTTATAGCGCTGTACAGCGTCGGATTGGTTGGATACATTATTTTAGAGATTATAACTCGAAAACGTAAACATTCAGATGATCAGAAAGACAAAGAGCCATTGATTAAAGATGTTAAATCATAATGTGGCGTCATTAGGGTTTTCCTTTACCATTACAGCTGTATTCCCCTTCCCTTGACTACCTCCACGCCTTTCCACATAACTATATGTGTAAAAGTAGAAAAGTGTTAATTATTTTTTTGCGATCTTGAAAACAAAAACTTAAAGATAAACAGGCAATGGGAGTGAAATATTACTTGAATGAGTATGTTACATGAACTGATTTTCGTAGCACTTCAGTGTATTCTTTTGCGCTGTGAGGCAGAGGCGTAGCGACATATTCCGGCGCCCGGGGTGGACAATCCTCCCATTTTTATATATAGTTATTCCTCTCTATGAAAAAGTTCCCCTCCTTTGACTGTGTATAATTCTATACTACAGCTTAAAAGAACTTTTAAATTAATTTTTAACCCGTTTTGGCACCCCCTTGGGGTCGACTCACGGGGCGGCCGCCCCACCCGCCCTCCCCTAGCTACGCCACTGCTGTGAGTACGAGAAGCTGGTTGATACCCCACAAAGTGTCCTTGGTAAGACTTGGTTCGATACAGTACATGAATAGATGTTAGTAGTAAATCTGGTAGTATATCGTTCGAGAGCCTACTAGAACTCAATTTCTGTACATTCCTCATCCCTACCGCCCCTGCAAGTAGATTAGCTGTAAGGGCATACGTTAATGATATTACACCCCCTTCCCATTTTTCACACTCAGGTAGTAAATAAGCATTTAATAAAATCGATCGATTGGCAGCAAGAACAAACAAGCAAAATATGACATAAACATTTAAATTTATATTAATTTTTATTTTTTGTGTTAGTCTTTCTTGCCATCGAATGATGCCCCCCGTCCTCTAATGATGCCAATGGGTATTAAGGGATGTATTTAATCAAAATAATTCTGGCGTTCCCTACTCCCGTTCATTCAGGCGTCCAAGTCCACATTTGGTGCAGGCCGCACACTATACAACACATAACAAGGTCATATAAACACTTAAACTCTACTTCATCTACGCTTGGGCCGTCTGGTTTGAAATAGTATGTCATAAGGCTTTTCGTGATCTACAAGTCATTATTTCTTACCCTTATATTATTGTATACGCAATGGACACAAATGAAAGAGACATAGCGGCTTGTTCTGTGATAAAATGTGTATCTGTTGAGTATAGGTTATCACATCACTCCATAATCGACATGTTATCTATTGAAGTAAATTAACCTCTGTGACACACTATGTGCAGTGGCGTAGCGAGGGGGGGTGGGGTGCGGATCGCACCGGGTGACACCATTTAGGGGGGTGACACCAAGGCAAAAAATAGCAAAATATTTAGGGAAAAATGATAATTCCACTTAATTAAGTGATTACTTAGTGTTAAATAGTCTTTTAAGAGGTGCAAATCAAAAGTTTGAGGGGGTGCAAATCGAAAGTTTGAGGGGGGGGGGGGTGCAAATCGAAAGTTTGAGGGGGGTGGGGGTGTGCAAATCGAAAGTTTGAGGGTGTGTAAATCGAAAATTGAAAGTTGGTCCCCGGGAAGGGTCGCTACGCCTCTGAAGGGTGACACCATTAAGTGCCGCACCGGGTGACACCCGACCTCGCTACGCCACTGACTATGTGTATATTATTTACATATTCAACAAATGTGTCTGTTTGTGGTTTGTGTACTTTGATGTCTAAAGTGCTACATTGTTATAGGTATTTATAGATAATTAATATGGCATTGGTGTTTGTGTGTATACCTTGTGTATACCTAACAACTTTCTTTATTTACAAGCTTTCATTTAACTTGCTTCCTCTGTCGTGCTTATGTGTCGAAACGTGCGAGCGAAATTGGCAACTAGTTAGTTTTTGCCTTAAAACACAAACAGTGTTTCTTTCAGAATTTTTTTTTATGGGGGGAGGGGGGCGCTCTTGAAACTTTCAAGGGTGGGGGGGGGCAAAATTTTCCGGAAGGAAAGGGTGCGGTACTAGTAAAAGGATATATTTTCTATATATTTTTTCCTTGGGGGGGGGGGGTCGGTTTGGAATGTAAAGGCGGCCAATGCGAAGATAAAAAAAAAAATACATGAATTCTACTCCCTCTGCCTAAAAGATTGCTAGGGCTGTAAGGGGAACTTTACTTACCGTAAAGTAAAGAATAACTAAACTATGCGGCAGTGATGTGGGTTAATGTACTATAGAGACGTCACTTTAGACAAGAGATGGCTAGGTGGAGACTTGTTACGGACAAGAGAGGTAACTCGACTAAATTAATATGTGCTAGTACCCATCTGACTGTCCATGCTTATCTCCCCCTTCAGAATCAATATTTGGTAAATTTACGCATCGTTTCATTAGTAGTGTGGTGTTTTTTTGTTTGTTTTTTGTTTATTATTTTTTTTATTTTGTTACTGACAAGGGAGGTAAATGCACTAAATTAATATGCGCTTGTACACATCTTACAATCGATGTTTATTTCCCCTCACAATCGTTTTTTCAATAATGTATAAACATCGTTTTATTTTTAGTGTTTTCTTAACTGTATCTTGTACACACTGGGTCAAGACTTTTTCCTGACATGGTAAGAAGTTTCCTAATAAGCTAAAGTACTCACTTTATGTGTAATCGTATAAGTCGTTTACATTCCGTATTTATATAAAAAGAATTATCAACAAAATCAGTGAACGCAGTGTTGTGTTTGGTGTTTGGTTTGGTGGGTGGGTGGTGACCACACAACAGAGGCGTAGAGATGGGGGGGCAGGGGGTCATATGTCCCCGGGCGCAGACCTTAGGGGGCGCCAAAATGGGTTGTAAAAACAAATTAAAATGTCATTTTAGCTGCATTTTTGCAGTTTGAGGGGGGGGGGGGTGCAAATCGAAAGTTTGAGGGGGGTGCAAATCGAAAGTTTGAGAGGGGTGTTGAAAATTTGCTCCCGAGGGGGGCGCTAAATTGAAAGTTTGTCCCCGGGCGCAGGGAATGGTCGCTACGCCACTGCCACACAACAACAACAAAAACTGTCGAAGACAGATCTTACGCAAATGGGCTTATATGTTGTTATGAGCTTATATTTCGTAACAATCTCTTTGGCAAATTATGTAACTTATATGTGAACTACTTAATGCAGCGATTTCGTTCTTTCCAAATTAATTCGTATGTGATGAAAATGCAGCTATGTCTAATTTAAGTCTAAGATAGGACCATTACTTATCCAGCTGGGTTGTATTCACTGATGTTTTCAGAACCGACCACGGAATCTACTAAGAGACAGATAATAGTCGTATAGATATTTTGACTGAGATCATTTAAGATATTTTGTCTAAGGCATCTTTTTTCTCTGAGAGTCAGTGTTTTTTTCAGGCATCTCTTCGGAGGGGGGTGGGGGGGACTATGCAGCAAGTCTTTCAGCCAAATGAGATATGGAAATGAAACAGAGTTCTTGGCAACATCCGACATTTTTCAAACTAAACCAGCCACCACCTTATTCTACTGTATCTGTTGACAACAGGCCAGCGACCATCTATGCACCAAAACTTTTCATTATCGCATGTCATCTAAAAATAAAGTGCAACGCTATGCACGCGCGTGTTTATCAGACAGGTAAAAAAGCTCCATGTTAAATTGTTAATGCTAACGTAATTAATTAATTAATTATCACTGCTCCTTATCGGGGGTTTATTTACATGTCTCGCTTGGTCATTGCATTCGTTATTTTTACTTCATTAAAAATCCTTTAAAAAAAGGTAGAAAACAATACATCGTTTATTTCGTATAATAATGGATGATGTAGGCCTAGGGAACAACAGAGGAATGTGGACTTGAAACAAGGTACTGTCTGAATAAAACAAGGGGAGAATACTCCAGTGGCAAGTGGACAACAGGGGAGGCAAAAACAGCACGGGAGTGTCAGTCTAAGGAACCAACTTAGCACAAGTTTCCAGACCAGTTATTAGAAAATATTTCAGGGCTATTGAAATGTGTAGTTATTAAAAAAACAGGAATATTTCAGGGCTATTGAAATGTGTAGTTATTAAAAGAAAGGAATATTTCAGGGCTATTGAAATGTGTAGTTATAAAACAGGAATATTTCAGGGCTATTGAAATGTGTAGTTGTTATAAAACAGGAATATTTCAGTGCTATTGAAATGTGTAGTTGTTACATGTACAAGTGCAATTGTTTTTGTTTGCAGATAAACTCATCTTTATATCTACCTAAATTTTTTTTAAACAACTCTGTGTGAAATGAAATGATAAGTTATTGTGATGGGATTCATAGAAAATAGCCTGAATCTGGCACTAAAATGTGCTGTTTGGAATGTCTGTAAAAATAAATAGCAATTGTTTATTTATTGTTTATTAAACACTGTCTCCCACGTTCCCATAAATAGTTAAAGCATAAATCTTTAAAAAAAAATGACCAGAAATAAACCTGAATAATAAAACGGTCTTTTTAAACATGAGCTTTAGAACATACTAAAAGTTTGGCAACAAAGACATGTAACTCAATATCACAGAAGTTTATTTTTCATAAAAACTATAGCATAATAATAATCAGATCCTATCATTTAATTTGGTAATGGTTAAATAAGATAAAACATTTCATTTTCAAAATGTTTAAATTCCAGCATCTTAGTTATATTACTGCAAAAGCAGGTTTCAAAATAAACATATACTTAAATTACAAATTACTTGTTTAAATTTAACAACACAATTACTTCAAATATAAATTTTAAAACTAATTAAATAACATGTCATCAAGGAATGGACGGATTCAGTTGAGTGCACAAAGTTTGTTTTCTTCAAAAAGAAAACTTATATAGGCAATTTATACCAGGAATTTTAGTGTGTTAATGTTGTTTATTCCAATACTGACAAAAAAAATATAATGGATGGCTCTTTATATGGCTTAACTTGAACTTATTAATTTCTTCAACAAGCTTAAGATTAAGTCAAATATTTTGTTACTATTTCAAGAAGTAAACATTTTCATGTGTTTGTTGATACAATGAGAAAGCGAAAAAAATAATTCTTAAATTAATTACGATATGAAATCAAATTCAAATTATAAATGTGTGCATTGTAACAGTAAAGTTTAAATAACTAAATTGTTTTTATGCTGTTTAGCAATTTGCCAGCAATTTCAAACATTTACCATAATAGATCTTCTACTGTTAAAAAGTGAATGAACAGATAAAGCAGTAATTATAAAACAAGCCTGTCATCCTCCAGGAGTGTGGGGGCAGATTCACCATAGCCACCCATCATCAGATTGGCTCCAGTGCTGGCTCCAATACTGGACAGCTGAAAACAGAACAAGTAAAGTCAGCATTAGTGGGATATCCGTATGGTTGTTTAAAATTTTTGTTCTAAATGGACAAAAGACTTTCCTCCCTGGTAGTTGTAATGATTAGAATATATTTTATCACAACGAAATAATGAGTTTTGAATATATTTCACTCAAATAAAGTGTGCTTGTTTTTTTTTAAATAAATGTAAATAATTTCTTTAGATAAATCATAACTCTTATCTATGCTGCAACATACCAATGTTTTCTTTTTTCTGTTTTACTATTAATGTTTTTATTTTTGTGACTTTTTTAAAAGTTTATAATAATTTTTTTAAAACATGACTTTTTTTTTTTAAAAAAAGCCTTGGTTATGTCCCTTTATTAAATCAAAAGATATCAAAGTTATAAAAACCTGTACTGTACATAAGCAAAGCTGGATGGTTATTTACCTGATCTAGACACTGTTTTTTGCACTCCAGCAGTCTCTCAAGGTCCTTCCACATTTTCATCTGTTTCATGTTAGGCTCATGGTTTTCTCGTACTGTCTTCTGCCTCTCCCTTAAGCCCCTGCTCAAATTTTCCTGTTCTTGAATCTTCTTAGAGTAGACCTCTCTGGTGAACAAAAATAGAAAAATGTGACTTAAATGGAAAATTCTGTACTTTTTAAGACATAATGTTAAGACATAACATTTTCCAGCATTCTATGTCAGAGCTATTCTTTCTTAATACAAGCCAAACAAGGATTAGAAAGTAAAAAAAATAATAATAATTTGTTCAAAGGCAAGTAACCTCTCCCCATAGGTAACACTTGCAACGGAAACACCAAAATTCTATTAATAACATTATTTTAAATTTTAATAATCAGTCAGAAAAATACTACAAATTACAAACTCTCTAGTCAAAAGTTTACAAAAAAAAAGTACTGGCTAGTAACTGATTCAAAACTTGTTCAACTTAAATACTTTAAAGAATAACAATCAGAACACAGTTTCAGCCATGAAAAAAAATGCATCATAATTTTTTAATAAAGCAGAGAGCTTTGATAGAAACTAAATAAGGAGGACCAAAAACACAGGAATATTATTGTTTGAAGTTGATTGAAATGGAAAAACAAAAACACAAAAAAAAACATGGAAGAATGTCATAAATGACATGCTCCACAGGGAGTTGAATAAAGAGCAAAGAATAAGAGAACTGTACCTAAAAGTTTTCTTCTTCTCTTGTGCATCAGCTGAGACATAGGCTTTCATCTCTGAGGCCACTCTTGCTTGCTGGACCTGCAGGATCTATGACAGTAACACAGAAATAAATGTATACATCCTGCTAAACTGGTTTTTCTGACACACAAAAATAAAGGACGTTATCTTTCTAAACTGTTCCTATTAGGAATTAAGGGGACAAAAATCTGTTATGACTTTGTAAAATCAGTCATACTGGAACTTAAATATCTTAAACAATGAAATTTTAAGCCACGCACATAATACACTATGGGACAGAGTGGCCTAGTGGTAGAGCAGAGGCGTAGCGACCCTTCCCGGCGCCCGGGGACAAACTTTTTTATTTGCACCCCCCCCTCAAGATTTTGATTTGCACCCCTCTCAACCTTTCGATTTGCACCCCCCCTCTCAAGATTTCGATTTGCACCCCCCCTCAAACTTTCAATTTGCACCCCCCTCAACCTTTCAATTTATTTTTCTGGGTACCTAACTCACGTTAGGGTAAGTAAAGGTGGCTGGGCATAGTACTGACCACATGATCCCTACACATGCTGAGGTCACAGAAACAAGTGAACTCTATTTAACTTGCCCTGTAGACCGTCAGGTTTGAAAGGGAACTTTTCTTTACTTTTACATAATACACTACACAGCTAACCTTCATCATACAGTTAAGGTAATGGTATCTTGACTCTTCAGCTCTGCATTCTTCCTTGTAACCTTTAACCTCTTGCTGTAGTTTACTCATGTTGCTATCAAACCCTGCCTGCTGTCTCTCATACACCTGTTTCTTGCTCTCATACTCAGGGTTCAACTCCTGTGACATGAAATACAACATAACATCTGCAGATAGTACAGGTGACTTGTCAATAAACTACATTATTTAAACTAGCTGTTTAGTAAACAAACACATCACTGAACATGAAATTATTTTTTTTTATTAATAATTGTTTTAGATTAAAAGGATGATTAAAAATAAAATGGTAATTATAAAGTATAAAATTAAGTATTTTGTTAACATAATGATACAATCTAATTTTCTGTAAACATGAGAATGGTATTTGTTACAAGATGCTTATGTGTGTAAAATAATATCTAAACAAGCTCCGTCAAGCTTAAATGATCAGAACATTACATTATGCCTCACAATAACTAGCAATACTTTGTTTAAAAGGCTAAGAATGATAGCTACCATTGCTGGTTAGCAAAACTTCAGTAGCTTACTCTGACTTTTTCCCTCAGAGGTCTGATCTCACGCAGGATGGGAGCTAAGGTGTTTCTTCTATCAGCAATCTCGGCATGGAGTCGGCGAACCATCTCGGACATGTCGTCCAGGGTGCGCCCCTTCATCTCGTCCAGCTCACTCTTCATGCTGGAGACTTTCTCCAGCTCTTCCTGTGTCTCTCTGTAGCCTGCCACGCCTTTCTTCTTCTCCAGCACTGACTGTGAAACAATGTTACATGCATTACTACTATCTCCTATATGGCATCACCAGCTTAACAAAAGGCCATGCAATCTGAACATGATGAAGTATCTCATTTCTTTCACATATGTTGCTAGCCATGTGATCCATGGGTTACCACCAGGGTTACACTTCTTCCCAAGACCACATCTCATGTGCATCGCACCACCTGGTTTGGATATGTCAAGGGATGACCTACAGTTTCAAAGATGGGTATAGAACTCATGACTTTTGGGTTAACAAGCATGTGTTCTACCACTCCACCATGCTCTCTCATTTATTTGTTTCTATACAATACAACAAATGCTATTAACAATACAAACATTCCACATATGATTACCCATGATTATGATTACCCATCAACACATCATTCTACATCAATACCACTAACATTACACCAGTTTTCACATATGACAATTACTATGACAATTACTAAGTAACAACAGTCAGAAAATAATAATACCTTTGTCTTATAACACTACAACAACAACCAAATCGCAGTACAATTATTACCCTACACTCCAACACCAAATATATACATCCATTAATCAAACAGACGATTAATTAATTAAAATTTTGTTAAGAAGACATACCAGTTGTCTGTTGATGAGCTCATTGCGCTGTTTTAGGATTTCTTCAGTCCTTGACAACACACCAGCCTCAGCCCTCAGTTCAGCCAGCTCAGCACGTTTCTTCTTATAAACTGTACTCTTGCTGCGCAGCTTGTTCACATAGCGCTTGAACTGTGGGGAGGTCATTATATATTACTGTCATTCTTGGCTAGTAGTTGACAGCAGTAAAATAAATTGTGTACAGCTTAAATGGAAAGCAAGCACAACTGGATATAAAAGGGTTTTGAGTTCAAACTGAAGCTAAAAAGTCTAAAAGGCGGATGAGGGGGTTTACTTTACACAACATTTTCAGGTTGACAATCACAGGCTCTCCAACACATCCCAATATTTGGGTTAGAACAAAAGGTAAACTAAAGTTCCTTTTTTGCACCTGCCCATCCATGGGGCAAGTGAAGTAGGGGTTCATCTGTTTCTGTGACCACAGCATATAAAGGGATTGTGTGGTCAACACTATGTCAAGCAAACTTTGCTTTCCCTAACGTAAGTTAGGTATTTATAAGAGCTGGGTGGACTAATGAAATTTCTACTAAATAAACCCAGATTCAAACTCGAGACATTTTAGTTAACTGTCTAGGGCACTACCAGCCTTTGCCAGAACAAAATGCTACCTGGTACTATTGAATGTAAGCTCTTTTATGCTCTCACATCTTCAAGTAATCTATTATTGATTTACCTCATAAAATACAACAAGGCTTCAAATAAAATTCAGACTTACATCTTCACCTTTCAGCACTTCTGCCCCTTCCGCAGTGCTAACCACATCCCTTTTCTGCTCTAGCTCCCGCTGTATGTGGTTGAACTCATCCCTAATAGACCTCAATGTCTCTGCTGCTCCCAGCTTCTTGTGGGCTATGATGCCAGCCTAAATGAAACAAGAGTTAAAAGCTCAAACTAAATGAATCAAGAGACAGCTCTAATGGGAGATAACTACAGCCTAAAAAACAAGACTTAACAGCCTATAGAAAATGAGATTGAAGGGTAATATCTCCAGCCCAGATAAAACTAAGTAAAACAAGAACTAACAGCTCTTATGAACAATAAATTAAAGTAAAACAAAGTAATACTAGATTTAAATCAAGTAAAATAATGAGAATAAACACAGGCGCACTTGCTGTCTAAAGAGGGAGAGTTTGTCATCTGCTGGCTCCCCACTTCTCATTCTTTTTTCTATCAACTGGTTCACTTCAGCATTCAACTCAGAGATCTAGGCACAAAACAAGCAATTATTTGAATGAAAACTATTAGATCTTTTTTCATGTTAATTTTAATAGCGATAAAATTTTATTGGATTAATTTTTTTAAAGACACTGCATTAAATAAAATAACAAGAAAGATAAAGAAATTTATAAATGAAAAGGATATGTTTGTTACATATAATGAAGATCAGTTTATTTCCTCAGTAAAACATGAGCGATATAAAATCCCTGTTACCTTTGAATTTAGCTCTAAGAGATCATCGTTCCCCATGGCCTGAACTGACACAACCTTTTGAAGATTCTGTATCATTTTCTTCTTCTGAGTTATGTCTTTTGGCAACTGCTCTTTAACAATAAAGCCATTTGTTCTTGTTTCTTCCTCTAGTTTTTGTATCATGGCTAAAAGAAAGTTTTGGTTGTGTTATTTTAGATATCTCCTTTTATTAAATAGAGGAAATAATCTATATATATAATTCTCTTCATGGATACCATAGAAAACACTACGCAGCTTAGCCACCACCCTCATCCCCACCTGTCAGGTGAGCTGTGGTTCACCCCAAGGGTGGGAGGGAGGGCGGGAAGGGATAGTGTTGAATTCACAAATTATGAATTGCTGATAAGCAGAAAATAAAACAACAAGATGGTGACTTATACTATGTCGCGGGTCAGCTTGTAATTACATAATATATTAAAGAGAATTTAGTTTGAAGTTCATGCAACATCTGTTAAATAAGACAAAAGGAGCAATTTGTTTTTATAAAGTTATTTCTGTACTCACATGAGGGTGTTGCTCCAATACTAGCTTGTCTCATGTCCCTTAGCTGGGCCTCAAGACGTTTGATCCTCTGTTCTAAATGGGTTATCTGGGTAATGTAATTCATTTTTTAGGTTTAAAAATTGGTTGTAAATATGTAGTTGATACAAATATAGTCACAATAAAAATAAGTCTCATAGACTAAAACATATTAAAATGCTTGATTAAATTTACCATTTAAGAAAATAAAATACATTTTAGAAGAAAAGTTTTTCTCAACATACCGTGGTTTGTTGCTCCTGTTTTTGTACTGCCAGTTTCTTCTCTCTATCTCTTTCAATGCGCAAATTTTTGGCAACCGTCATCATTTTTGTAGAGTTGGGGTGGGATTCAACCTGTTGACATAGAACAAAATTTAAAATTTAAACTATATCATGGTCTTTACCCTATTTTTCTTGGTATACCACGAAGTTTCTAAGCTATCTCTCGTTATCCTTTAAGCTAATACAGTATTTTTTATTCTGTCATTAATCTAACCAATTACATACCTTCCTTCTTAGTCTTTCTATTCTCTTTATTAGTTGTTCTTTTTCTTCCTCCATGTTAGCTATGTCTTTCCTGATCTCTGAAGTGCTGAACCCTGAGTTTTTTAACTGGTCAAACTGTTTGTGCAGTTCTTTGAACTGTTCCATAAGCTCTTCATACTGTTTGAAAAAGTTAGCATTTTAAGTACTAGTAGATCATATGGTACACATCTTTTTAAAATTGTTCCCCTTTACACCCAATTTAATGGTATGTAAATGAGATCCTATGTTAGAAGTTCATACTTGTATTATTTAGTTTAAACCAACTTTAATAATGAACATATGCTATCCTTAGGTATGGCTAACCTTTTAGTAAATTAAGCATTGTATAAAATGTTTCAAATTCATATATTGTAAATAGAAATATAACATACATACAATAGCTGTTAAGCCAATTATTAAATGACAATGCAATGTAAAACTCAAAATGATAGTTCATAAAATACTAGATGTTTTATGACAAAGTGAAGCTAAATTATACAGCAGTAAGCACTGTTGTACCTTATACACTGGCAGTAGTATTCATGCCACCCACACCTTAAGTGTAATAGAAATAAATATTAAATAACTTATTATTGATATCGCTGTTTAAAACATGTATTTGCTTTACCTGCATGTAAATGCCATTAACCTCTTCATCTTGCATGATCTCAGCTGGTACTTCAATCTTCACAAGGAACTTTGCAAGGTAAGCTCTTTTCTGGAGTTCTGGAACTTTCTGTAACAGCCATTCAAGGATTGGGAAAAGTATAGGTTTTTCACCTTGCACAATTCCTGCCCGGAACTGGCTCCTGAAAGTTTTTAAAAACTGTTTAATATTTTTTCACAATGACTTACTTTTTAATAACATTATAACTGTAATGTAAAGTTTTTCTAAGATACGCTGAGGGTCAAAGGACACCAGTCGATTCCTATTAAAATAATGTTAAGCCACCATTAAAGCCAGATTAAATGAAGGTACTATCATATCACAGGAATAGCGCTAAACTGGAAGCCTCAAGGAAAAAGAAAGCAAGGAAGGAAGCCCAAGGGAGACGTGGAGGTGCACAATTATGGCGGACTGCCAGGAAAATTGCAGTTGACTAACAAAAGTGGAGGGAGTTTTCTGTGGCGGCACCATGTGTTTTGGGTAATAAAATGAAAGATGATGACTATGATATCATTTTATAATGTAGATCAAACAAGGCAAAGTCCAGTAGTGATCAACAAAAATTAAGACAATTCTTTTGTCAGATTATAAGCAATAAATATGAGGAAAAAATATAATATCCAACTACTTTTAAACAGTCTAGTGTAGATTAAATATTTAATTACAATAAATGCAATAACAAGATGATCAATATCACATTTTTGGATTAGCTTCACCAAACCAGTAATTTTAACCATGCTGCTTGGCAGTGTTATAAAACTTAAACACTACCCAAATCTTGTGGCTGGGTATGGTTAACCCAACATACCAGAATACATATATCACTTACATGTTAACATGATCAGGAGGCTTGTACTTCAGGACTCGCAGGACTTGGAAAATCCTTACTGCTGTTTGATCTGGTGCCTCTTCACGAATATCCATTTTTTGCTAACATAAACAGGTGAACTTTATAAGGTTCAACATACAAGCAATAAATAAAATTAAAATACATATAGGGGTAAACATGGAAAACAATATTATAGGCGTACACATCTAAACAAATAATATTTTTAACACACTGTGCAGGTGCACACAATAATCATTAGAACTTACAATAACTGCAGAGGCTCAAGGGAGGTTATACTATTTTTATTACACAACTATACAAATAATATTTTTATCACACCTGTGCAGGTGCGCAAATTAATCATTAAATACCTTAGGGTCAATAATAGCCAGGACATCATTTAAAACTTGCAGTAACTGCAGAGGCTCAAGGGAGTCAAATGATATGAGGTTATACGATTTGTTAAATGGTTCCTTGTTCAGTTCCTGAACAATAAACTTCATCTGCTCACTCAAGCTCATTTTCAATTTTTATTGAAAACACTTCATAACATACTGAAAATAAGATAAAAATCTGTTAGCATTTTCAGAATGCAACAACAAATATTTTTAGAATTTATTTGTAGATTAATAATTAACCCTCTTGAGACGCCCGGGCCGATCTATCGGCCGCCGGTTTTATAGCCAAAAAGACGACCGGCCGATCTATTGGCCGGGTCTCAGCCGTGATAGTAGAAGCCACGCGATTGGCTTTCTAGTATGATATCAGCCAATCAGATTGCTTCTAACTGTTATAGTACATATCTAGCACTTCAATGGCGACTTCCATTGAAAGTTTGCCTCATTTTTTTGTTTTTTATCGATTTTTTTTGTGCCGTGAGTCCTATCGTAAATTTTTTTGTCCAACAGTCCAGTCATCAAAATATACTAAAAATATACTTAGAAATTCTAATGTAGAAATAATAATCAGTAAATTAGTTCAGATTATTGAATAGATGTTTGTGTATTATTTAGATTAGCATTACAGAGTACAGAGAGAAAAAACGTATTTTTATACAAATTTACTGTAATTTAGTGATGTCAAATTTTTTTCGTGCATAAATTATGCAAATCAGAAAGCTCACATATATATATGTTGAGATTTTTATTAGATTTATAAAAATCATATTAGCTCATTCAATTTCCTAATAAATAATATAGAATCTATATTTTTATGCATGTAAAATAATTAGGGTAAAGGAGGGCGTTAAGAGCCACACTTTTTAGCACCTGTACATTTTTAAAGATTTCTACTAATCTAAGAATTTTTTAGTATTGAAAATATGGCACAATTATTCTAACATATCCTACACAATATAAAAATAATAACAAAGTGTATTAAATATACTTTAAATGGGTTTAATTGAACATTTATTGTCATACCCCCAAAATCAGCATTTGGGGTGAAAGGAGCCGGGCAATGGGGCAATAAGTATTATCTCCTAGTTTAGACTAACTCCGCAATAAAAATAATTAATTTCTAACCCCAAAATAGTTAATGCTGTATACACACACTTTAACTGATACTAGCTATCACTAGGCCCCAATGGGCCCAGTCTACAATTGATACAATTGCAGGTGTACATAGGGCCTAAGCCCTAAAGTCTAGTAGTTTACAGTAGGCACATTAGTATGCCTAGTGTGTAGCTAATATACTAGTGTGTAGCTGTCCAGAGGTAACATTCTTGTATGTAAAAAGGGGTGGTACTAACTAATCTGCCTTAATGCTTTCCCCTGATAAGCCATGTGTGCTATACATTACATAACATGACATGGAGGTGAGAAATGTTGAGGGGAGAGCAGTGGTACTGGTTTCCCCTTTGTTCTCCTTGCTGGACCCTGAGGGCCATAAATTACATAAGGAGATGCTATCTCTGGTTGGCTGAGATCTAAGAACTAAGTCCATGCTACCTACAAAGAGATAAGTTTTACTAGAATACCCGTCATCCCTTGGATAACTGTGGGTTTCGGGGGTCATCCATCAAAAAACATCACGTCTGTCACTCAGAGGCATAGCGAGCCTTCCCGGCGCCCGGGGACAAACTTTTCGATTTTAACCCCCCCCCCAAGATTTCGATTTTCAACCCCCCCCCCCCCTCAAACTTTTGATGTGCACCCCCTCCCCCCCCCCCCCCCCCCACTCAAACTTTCGATTTGAACCCCCCTCAACCTTTCAATTTATTTTTCCAAACCATTTTGGCGCCCCAACATACGTCCCCCCGCCCCCCCCCTTCACTCCCCCCCACCTCCCCTCCCCCCCCCCCCCCCGCCTCCCCTTTCCCCCCCCCCCCCGCCTCCCCTCCCCCCCCCCCCCCCCCCGCCTCCCCACCCGCCCCCCCCCCCTCCTCGCTACGCTACTGCAGTGTCACTTATCGTCACAAAAACAGCCCACATTCAAAAATATGTTTCTTATCTTTTAAAAACACCGAAAACACCGATTTCGGACTATCCCTTCATATACTGACGTCACATGTGACCTACTCAACTCTACTTCACCTGCCCAGTGTCCCGCCAAGTCTCAGACAACATGTTTTTATCGTTTAAAAAACGATTCCAGCCGAGCATGTCTCTGACCACACTATCCTTTCATATGGTTAGGACAAAGAAACAGATGAACTCTACTTCACCTGCCCTGTATCCTGCCAAGTTCAGATAGGCAACTTTATCATTAACATCTAAAAAAAAAAAAATTGAAAAAAAAAATCATTTTTTATCATTAACATCTAAAAAAAAAAAAAATTGAAAAAAAATATCATTGACATATTGGTCTAGAACCTGTACCACTCGCATGAGAGCGGACTACGCTACAAACTTAGCTATTTACTCCTGACGTCACAAATGAATTTTTATACTATACTTTGATGCAACTTGATTTCGAGCGTCTAGTCTAGAAGTAGTAACTTTCAAATTAAATTTTATCTTAAATTAGCCAAACAAAGATTTATATAAAATAATTAAGGCCTGAAATAGATTCTAGATGTATTAAGGCCTGAAATAGATTCTAGATGTAGAATTTACATTAAGTCTGGATTTAGAATTTACATTGAGTTTAGTGATCTAGATCATCTAGATCTAGGCTAGATTCATAAATTTCCTTCGACAGCTGATCTTTAGATCTAGAGAAATTTATTGTAAAACTAAATGAAAAAAGACAGTTGAAAATTGATATAAGTGTTGGAACGTAATAAATACAGCAAACGGACGTATTGTTAAAGTTATGACCGACAGCAAATTAGATTTAGAACGCGTTAAACTTTGGAATGGGAACACAATTTTCTTCGATAGACGCCGCCATTTTATTGTACTAAAGAGTCAACAAAAAACTCTGACGTCACTATCAAGGGACGTCACTATCCCCACAAAGTTTATTCAAAGTATTAACATTTTTTAAAAAATACGGTTAATTTAACAATGAATAAATCAATAAATTAATTAACGTCTTTAAATAAATTTGTGATTAACAGTCTGTCTGCATTAAAAAATTATTCTCTACCTACATACTATTTTACAGCTCTCCAGATAGAGCCGAACATATCAGGATACTTGATCAGGCAAACAAACAAACAAACAAAAAAACAAAAAAATAAATATTCAAACATGTAAACAAAGTTGACTTTTAGTAGTATATAGATGGTGGGTTAGATACAGGTGGGGGCTGGGTATCATGGGGGTGAGAAATTGTGAGGGGAGAGCAGTGGTACTGGTTTCCCCTGTTTTCTCCTTGCTGGACCCTGAGGGCCATAAATTACATAAGGAGATGCTATCTCTGGTTGGCTGAGATCTAAGAACTTAGTCCATGTTACCTACAAAGAGATGAAGTTTTATGGTGGGTTAGATACAGGTGGGGGCTGGGTATCATGGGGGTGAGAAAATGTGAGGGGAGAGCAGTGGTACTGATTCCTCTTTGGTCTCCACCCTGCTAGACCATGAAGGTCTTATATTACATAACATGCCACCCCAGATTGTCTGAGATCTGTAACTGTAATCCATGTTACCTACAAGGAGATGAAGTTTTATAGTGGGCCAGAAACTGGTGGGGGCTGGGTATCATGGGGGTAAGAAATTGTAAGGGGGGAGCAGTGGTATTATTGTATTTCTATCATTTAGACACAAGTCTGTTTAACAATTAATACATTTTGTGTTAACTATTCCTAAACCAGTGTCATATTCAGTGGTCTAATAAATGAGAAACTTGCACTTAGGGTTTCAAGAGCCACATAACAGTATCTGTTATAACTTTTCTAAACAGGCAAGCTAGTGGACAAAATTAATGTATTCATGTAGATTTGGTTATTATCTAACAAATAAAACCATTATGGTAATGATCAGTCAAGTTTTACTCTGATAATGATAAAAACTTTATAGCATGGTAAAATGGGACAAATGTCGGCCATTTTGTTTTGGCACCAACAATCACTGTGCAAAAAAAATTCACCAAAATAAAACTATTCTAGCCATAGCTATAAAAATAGTGTTAAAATGTACAACAACCAATGCTCTAATACAGGAACAAAGAATGGGCTTGAAAAACTCATTTGGTTTATTACAAAGTAAAGTTTCCCAAGTTATGTCTATTTGGAAAAAAAGTTCACAAAATGGTTTTATGGAGATGAGAAATTTTAGGGAAAGAGAAGTGGGATTAAATCCTGTCTCATCCTCTCCCTATTGGACCAAGTGAGTCATAAATTACATAAAATGAATCCTCTGCTTCTCTGTTATCAAAGAACACCAGTGGTTGTTACCTCAGAAGTAGATTAGCAGTGTTATTGGGGGTTTTGTGGGGGTGGGGTGTTGATTGGGGCTTAATACCACACGGCTCTTAACGCCCTCCTTTACCCTAGTTTATTTTTTTCAAAATTTTTTTGTGATGCAAGTGCAAAACTTGAAAGTAGGCTCCGTCTTCTTGGCACCGGCTCTCTAAAAAAGCTACGTCTTAAGTCGTCTTAAGACAATAAGAGGGTTAATTATTAATAATTACTAATTAGTAATTAGGCCTAATTATTAATTAATAATAATAAGTTTAGTAAAAGTTTAGTTAGTTAGATTAGATCTAAATCTACTTTGACAATTGTTGCGTTTATCAACTCAGCACAATTAGATCTAGCCTAGAATGTTCATGATTAGGTCTATTGATAATAATACTAATACAAAAGAACAGAAACTAAAATTTAATAGATCTACATGAAAACCGGTGAACGGTTATATTATTGTTTATGTTACCGTAGCAGAAGAATGCTAGACCATAAGTACCGGAAGTCAATTTAAAAATTGTAAATTATTTAAGAAAACAACTGTATTTAATACACATAAAATATTATTTAGATTTAATGCAATTATTAAAAGCCATTAGCCTATTATTTTAATGAACACATTAAAACAAATTTGTGTTTAAATCTTATATTTTTCTTTATTTACTTAAACTACATTATAAATTTTTAAAAACATTGTTAGCTACGTGTACTTCCTGTCAAAATGGCTCCCTCCAGAAACGTAAGTTCGTTACAAAACCGACAGCTGTTTCCTTATTTTTACTCTTAAATTATTAATTATTGCTGTCAAAGGAAATAATTTCTATTCATAATTCGACTCTGCTCGATAAGTTTATTTGTAAGATATATTTGCGCACATGTTTTGTAAATTTAAGAGGGTGGTACTGGTTTTTGCTGCATTGACTATTTGACTTCTCTGTCTCACCGGACTCTACTCTTCAGTCTTCACCATCACTTACCTAGTTCAAGCTTGCTCTAGGTTATAGAATTTAGAGCTAGTCACCTAGTGAGTATGTTTAGACATAGTCATACATAGATAAGCCTAACGCAGAATTATTAGGCAAAGCTGCCTACCTGCAAGTACTGAGTAAGTAGCTAGGCCATTGCCGCTGCCGAGAAAATCGGACAAATCGGCTCTTCCCTACCCCCTGCATGTTTAACTCTGTTTTTTGCATGCTTTTATTGTGTTTATGTTAACATGTTATACATCATTCTGTTCGTAATTGAACAACCTTTTTAACTGTATAAGTTTGATTTCTTTATTATTTCAGACGTTGAAGAAATCGCCGATTTAATCGCATTTTTTACCCCCCGCGGCGACGTGCCGATTAGAGGGGAGGCTTTTTCACCTTTTTAAAAGAGGGGTGTTACTTAGAGTCTATAGACTCTTTGAGTTTTCGTACTACAACAGTGAAACTTGGTAGAAGAATAGATTAAATGTTCACGTATAACGCTCAAGGTTCTTGGGGAAAATATGTTAAATACTTTTGGAGATATCGAACGGCAAAGTTGAACTAAGTTATTTGGGCTATTAATGAACCGATTTTTAATTTGAACCTTGAGCTGTATTCCTGAAATCTCTACGTTTATTTATATGTATGATATGTCATATTAGGCCCTATAATAAGGACGTCTATAGACTTTGAAGTGGACCGAAAATCAAAACATGACGCGCCGACCGCTGTCCGACTGAACCGCTCGGCTGTGCTTCGAATCGCTGTGTTTTAAATATGGCGCGCTACAATTTTTTTTATAGACGTATCGAGTTTACGTACTACAACAATCAAATTTGGCAGACGAACAGATTTAATGTAGACGTACAACGCTCAAGGTTCGTGGTCAAAATAAGTTTAATACTTCGGGAGATATCGGATCGCAAAGTTGAACTAAGTTTCCCGGTCTATTATTGTACCTATTTTACATTTGAACCTTGAGCTGTAATCCCGCCGTTTATTTTAATGTATGACATGTATTATAACACTTCATAATAAAGCCGTCCATACATTTTAAAATCAAATGAAAATAAAAATTAACGCGTCGGCCGCTGTCCGACGGAATCTTGATCTACACATCGTGTAGCACAGTCGAGTGTGTGGTCACGTGACGCTATGCGGTTGATCCGATTGGATGAGACTATAAACAATTTCTAAAGATAGATACGTGTTCCTGTGTTTGACTCGTCGGGTATTGCTATTTTATATTTAAGTAGACAGGCTGTTTCATAACTTTGTCTTAAACCATTGAAACGGCAAAAAAAAAAAAAAAGTTGTAATAGTATTACTATTTACTATTCGTCAAAATTAATCTTCTTTAGATATTAAACCGGCCCGATCTAACGATGCTGATGTGATTCGCATAACGTTTCATTATTGTGTACATTACTTTTTCGTAAAAATGGCTGTAAAAAAATAAATTTAATTTTACCCCGCGCTCTTTTATTTCGGTTGACTAAAAAATTTTAAAACCCTTAACAACGTGGAGGTTACTAGCTTGCCAAATCGACCAAAATGGGATAGGTTGGGTATGGGGAGTCACTGACCATCCTACACGGTATGTAACACCGTACGTAACATCCATAGCCTCACCCCGCCCCCACTACTCCGTGACGCGACAAGCCGAGGGTCGGCGCCTTTGATGTTGTATAACACCCGTACGGTACCCGAGCGGCTCGCGGTGGTTTCATACCCCACCTCCCTCCCCTTCACTTTGTGGAGTTGATGTTACTAACCCTCGGGCATAGATCAGGAAATCTTGCCAGACTTTTGTCTTTAAAATTACATAATATTCGTCTGACACGTTCATCGGGTTGGCCGACTAGCCTATCTTGCCTCGTGTTTACGTAATACGGCAATAAAATTTGTTGGTCAGAAAACCTGGTTACCCACGTCTGATTGAACTATGTCTAGGCAAATACTGATGGTGATAAACGCCTCCGTGTTTAAGCAGACACAGAAAACTTAAAAAATGCCTAGCATCTACTACACACAGTCAAGCACTCAAACACGTGCTTTTTCCCCCAATGTAATAGGCCTATAGTAGTTTTGTAATAATGTTTGACCATTTTAAATATCACCATTAGCTTCAGCATATATAAATGTCATATTATAGATTAAAACAGTGTTTAATTTAAAGAATGACTTCTTATCACACGGATTATCAGATGTTGTAACAAAAATTGAAGGGGGGTATTACATAATCCATGAAATAAGTCTGTTATGTAATCAATAGACACTTTTTAAAATAGCATCATTGGATTCGGCATACAAAAATCTACAAAATATCATAAAATGACATCAATTGGTGAAGTCTGCTTGCTTTTATACCACTTTTAGTGAAAAACTCTTAAAAATATGGTCCATACCCTCCCAGTATTTTTCCTCTTTCAGGGTCTACCCCGGTTGTCTGAAAAAACTGCTGTTTTTTAATGACAAAAAAATTCATAACATTTTTGTTTATGGTCAGATTTTGAAAATTCAAACTGATCTGTAATCAGATTGACAGTCCCTATCCAAATATGTAACTATTATATTGTTTTACTGAAATTAAATTTTTGCATTGGCCTAGCTAGAGTAAGTTTGAACCCTCTGGCAGATGAGCTGGTGGGGACAACGATGAGCGGAAATATTTAATATAAGTCACAGATAAAGTTCATAGTTGTTTGCTAAAAGGAGGTCGGCATGGACAGGTTGGTTAAGCTGTGGTTGCTGAACCAATAAGTCCCAAGTTTGGTTGGACAAAGACTGAAAGCAAATCCAAAAAGAAAAGCAAGCTGAAATCGGAGTCAACTGCCTAAATGGCTCATAACCAGTTGACACATATACTTAAATTGTGTTAGTGATGGAATACCTTTCAACTCTAATATTAAGATCAAAAAAGAAAAAGTTTACTAAAAGTGTAAGTCATAAAGGAAAATAGTAGTTTTAATTACGGATTTTGAAAATTAAATATTCTGTTATTTCAAATACACCATTAAGTTCCTTAAGAGAACATTTGACACCACATTTAAATATCTAGCTTAATCAGTTGACGAGAAAAGAGAGAATTTTAAAATTATCATAGAATGGAAAATGACAGCCAAAACCACGTTCTTGCCCCTCGACCGGCATAACAGGATGTCGTGGACTTGTGTACATACTTTTTTAAATGCCGCCATGGTAATTGTGTCAACTTAGGTTATTTACTCACCGGAAAATAACAAAACAAGTAATTAAAAAAAGTCTAGTGACAATTTTAGCGCAATTTCCTTACGTTATCTAAAAATAGCTCTGTCTTAGCGTAAATCAACAGCAGGGTTAGTAAAACCATTGGTTAGTTATTAAAACGTTTTTTATTAATTTTTTTTCCAGTATTTTACATGTTTTATTTACAATAGAGTAACATGACTAAAAACCATTGCGCGCCTAGCTACAGAGCGTGATGTCGCAGATATTGAACGTGATGGCGCAGCTATAAAACGTGATGACGCGTGTGGTGTGGTTGCATAAAATGCCTACTAATTCGGTCCAAATTTTAATTAATTCAAAAAAATTTTTGTGACCAAACGAAAGGATATTTTTGAAAACTTTCTTCGGCAGTATTGTTCTAAATTATAGCAGGAATCGATTGGTGCATGTTTCAAGTCGCTAAGTGGTCTGGTTGCCGAGATATGGGCCAAAAACTGCATTTTTCCGAGGTTTTTTGGCTTTTCCGGGAAATCCATGAAAGAAACCCGGAATTTTTATGGCCTATGTTCATCCTCGTAACTTGCTTAACATAATTGTTTTTGTAACTAGTCATCGATATTGCTTCATTGAGGAGGAGATACGACTTAAAGCTGCGGACACACATCCATACATTCATCCATCCATTCCCAGAAATGACGAGTTAATAAACGCAATTCTCCAGAATGGAAATTGCGCTAAAAAAACAACTGGTTGATAATAAAACTAGATCTAGTAAAGGAAAATATACATTACAAATTCTACTCTACTTTTGGAAAAAGTAATCAATAATACTGTAAATATACATGATAAATATATCAATTATATATTAATTTACAGTTAATCGGGCCTCTTTCCTCGTTAGTCTGTCGTTTTTGGCGGCTGTTCAGTTTTTACGGAGAGTGCTCCACTAGAAATCCTCTCATTATTTACAACCAAAAATCTTGCTATTTTTTTCTGGAATTCTAAGGCATATTATCCATTTTATTAGCATCTTGCATTAAAATAATGATGAGAATTTGCTATATAAACAGTTTTTTCATTTGTCGTGGATAGGACCCCTAAAATAAACGTAAAAACCGTCAGAAAACTGTCAGGGTCAGAGGTCAATCCACCCATCTAAGCAACAAGCCAGGCTAGAAAAAAGCCACAAATGTAGGCCTATAGACTATAGAAGATGCCTATTAAAAATATTTTTATTTAGTAATATTACTCGCTAACTTGGAGGTGGGGTCAGTTGCTAACAACAATATGGCGTCCAGACCGGACGCATGACTTTTTTGGCCAGTTTCCAGTGACCTTTTATAAATTACTTTTAAAAATGTTTACCACTATCCAAATGGCAGGGTTTTCACTTTATAACAACAAACTATATGTGGCAGGGCTATATATACGGTATACCAGAAAAGCATTTCAAAATTTGCATTGGAGGATGAAGGCTATATTTAAAAGTTGGTTTCATTAAAAATACTAGAACTTTTTAAATATAAATTTCCGTAGTACAAAATTGATTTCCATACTGAAGCATTATTAGGTTTATCAGTCTATGAAAAAATAAATCAAATATTGTCAGCTGTTTTTTTATAAGATCGGCCAAGAAAATGACAACCAAATTTTTTTTTAAACTACGTGACCACTATTTGGTGTTCACTAGTGAGGAACTCTTGTGCATAGCCAGTTAAAAAGTCAAACCGGATTCATGGCTTTTTGTAGCTTCAAACACAAGGGTGGTTGTTATGGAGGGGTGTGTCATATCATAGCTGTTAGTGACTATCTATATATATATAATTCTCTTCATGGGGACCATGCGAGACACCACCAAGGCGTAAGTTCAGCAGACCATATCACTACCACCCCCACTCCTACCAGTCTAATTGGCTGTTTACTATTGGGTCGAATTAGGGGCAGATAATATAGTTTTTAAACGATTTGAAACTAAGGGAAGGTAATAATACGTTCTGCTTGATCTTTTGATTGTCGTCTGTAAACTATTGTCACGGATGGCTGCTTTCACTGGGGATGGGGGAGAGGAGTGGAAAGTGAGGGTGGAGATAATCATCCTTCACTAGCTACTGATAGTGTTTTACAGCAAAATATTTTCAGTCGCAGCATTGGTAGTGTCGTATTCACAAAATATGAAAAATAGGAAATAAAACAACTAAATAGCGGCGTATGCTATGTTGCAGGTCAGCTCGTAAATTTTAAATTAAGTAATTAAGTCTAAAATGAGCTAAAACCCTCAAAATTAGTGCCTAATGGATTAAATATGGATGTTTATTATTTAGTAGTCATGTTCAAATTGACAATTGAGTGCATTTTAGATTTAGTGAGAGTAACTATTATTTAGGCCTACTTGTTGAGAATTGTAAAAATTTTGGGTGTTTAGGTATAAATCTAAATAAGGGTGGTTGTGTTTTTTAGTAAATTTAGGCTACAAATTTTAAAAGCAATATGGTTTACAATAATAACGTCAATGCAATTTTTATCTTCTTAATAGGCTTTAAGTACAAATACTATAAGATAATTTACACAACAACCTCAAATTTTGTTACATAATTATTTGAATAGGCCTTCCTGTAGAAAACCTGTAAAGAAGGTTGAACTATTGTTGCAACAAGTTAAGGATGGCAAATCATATTGAATAATTAAATGTTATTTTCCAATTTCAAGTTTATTCAAAGTTATTTTTTTTTTTTAAAACATGTTGAAAACTGAGGTCAGAACATTCTATTAACTTCTACTTTATTATATTAAATGTGATATGTTTAACAGAATTAAAACCTGCATACTTCATACTAAATATTTTTACTTGTTATAAATACTACCAATTGAATACATTACAACCTACCCACATATATCTAAAATGTGTAGGCATTTAATTAATAATATGCTGATTTGCACTTTCTGAATAGATAATAATACATTAAAGTATTAACAAATTCCATGTAAACACACATTTGTTTATATCTTAGGCCAAGAGATTTTTTAAATTAAATATTCAAAGTTGTGGAACTCAGGCATTGTGGCTTGTTTAATTGTTCAGGAAAATAAGCTATGGCATTTTAGATTGGATTAGTTAATTAGATAATCTTGATACAAAAAAAAAAATCATTTAATACCTTGATACAACAACTTTGTGTCACCTCTGACACATCCAGGCCTTTTAGGGATAAAATTGATGAGATTAATATGAGATTGATGCCATTTTTACAAGCACTTAAAAAACTAGGGTGACCATAATACAATAAAATTGAAAGTTGACAAACCAAACAGCCTACTGATATATAAAAAAATTTCATATGATCAATCTCATGTAAACTAAAATAAATAAAAATACATTTTAATACCATTCTAAAATGTTATTGCAGTTCTCAGTTAACATTTATTTATATAAAATAACAAATTTCAAAATATTGCATTTTGAAAAATAATTTCTTTTGATAAAATTATACAAATTACTTTCTTTTTGTTTGCTTTATGAATTTACAAATAAATGTTGAAAAAATGAAAACACCATAATTATTAAAATTGTTGTTTAATTGCTGACATTCTAAATAAAATTGTTTATTGATGTTTACATAACCATTTCAGAGAAGGTCACTAATACCCTGGGTAAATAAGGGAAAATGATGTCCAGTTGGACTGAGTTTTATGTCAAGTTGGGTTCAGTTGCATTTGTTTCAATATAATTTTATTACTGTTGAATTATGTTGAATTGTTGGATTTCTGCTTGTTTAAAGCTTGAGTTTTGTAAATGTTTCGATACAAACCAGGATTTGATTTAGTTTTCTTAGCAATTTGTTTGTGTAATTTTAGATAGACATTAATTTTATAGGTAGTTTTCCTGTTATTATTAGTTTAGGTTAGAGTTTAAACCTGATTTAGTTTAAACATGTTAAATTTAGAAAAACAATCTTAACTAATCCCACCTCTTTTGTTTTTAAATATACAGAGTAAACTGATACATATCTCATTAATATGTACTATAGATCTAAACTAATATTTTTAGAGTCAAATTATTTGAGATGATAATGGTTGTTATTATTGTTTGTATGTTGACTTTTAGCAAATCTGTGAAAAATGTTTCAGGGTTCAATTGATGACAAACCAGTCAAAATTGACAAATGGGACTCTGGAGCTTTGAAAAATTGTTTAGATGATGCTGCTAAAGTGGTAATTTTTGTTTTAACGAAGTTAATTACAATTAGAAATTACATTTTTTTTTTAAATAAAAGGTGAAATGCAGTTGTTACCTTACTTTATTATGGATGTATATTAATATGATATTCATGTTTTTTTTTAATAAACTATTTTTAAAAAGTTAACTTTTTTTTTAAAAAACTATTCTTAAATATTACTTAAATATTACTGTAAAATAATTTTAAAAATTTATTTTCAGGTTCTTGTGGATAAAATGGGGTACACGCAGTGCCATATGCTTATGAATGGCAGACTGATAATATGTACAATAGCTATTGCATTTGCAATGTTTGCTCTTGTGTGGGACTACTTGTACCCTTTCCCTCTGTCCAGAACTGTCCTTTTGATTTGCGTCATATCGTATCCTTTCTTTAAAATACACAGTTTGAATTCTATAAATGTACCATATAAAGTAGTTGATTAGAGAATGTTAATAAGGCTTTTACCTTATGTATAGATTATAAACATGATTTAAATATTTTATTCTATCCATTTTGGCACTGGTATCAATAGTAAGCTTATTTTACAAAAATGACTCGCACAGAAAAAAAAATTAAATATCAATACAAAAACAATCTTTGTAGTAGTAGTCTTACTTGAGCTAAATCAATTTTGTCAACTCATTTTAACTTCTTTAACCAAAGTCCATAGATATTTTATTTTAATGGCCATTTTAACAGTCTACCTGACTTACATTGAGAAAGGGATTTTCCTTGTAGCTCTAGAGAAGGACAGAGCTAGGATGGAGCCAGACAACAAATGGACATTGCAGTCAACGCTACGAAAGTATGTTTTCACTTTTTTATCTACCAGCATTGATGTATGCTAGGGACAGTGTGGTCATATTATAGAGAGCTTGACTGTTAACCCGAAAGTCTCGAGTTCGGATGTTGAGTTTGAGTCTGTAGGACGTATTATCATTATCTTTGTTTCAAGTATTTATTAAGCATGCTTTATGTTTCAATTTTTTTTAACAGGGTTTCTTATCTAGTTATCAAGTGAATTATTTTTATCTTGTACCTGTTTGCAGTTTAACTATAAAGTTTATTTAAGCCTGCTGTGCTTGTTCTTCCAATGTATACTCTTTTAATGAAAATTAAACAAAATGTTTCCAACACCTTTCTATATAAAATAATCACTTGTCAGAATAATAATTTTTTTAAAATCTCATAAAAAACGTTTTAATAACAAGCTTTTATGTACTAATGCACTAAAAAGTAGAAAATAAATTATAGACTGCTATTTAAATAACTATAAAGTAGTATCTATTGGATACCTTTACTAATGTTTAGGAAGAGACCCACGCTTTTCTTTATAGTTATTTAAATAGTAGTGTATAATTTATTTTCTACTTTTTAGTGCATTAGTACATAAAAGCTTGTTATTACAACGTTTTTTATGAAAAAATTTTTAGTACTTTACATGCTTTTATTTACAATAGAGTTTCATGACTAAAAACCATTGCGCGCCTATTGAAACGTGACTACGCGCTATTGAACGTGATGACGCGTGTGGAGTGGTTGTGTAGATATGCCTACTAATTCGGTCCAAATTTTAATTAATTCATAAAAAATTAATTAGGCCTCCAATTAAGTCAAATTTAATTTTAGATTGCATTGTCTTCATGTCTTGACCCACGTGCCAACTGTGAATGGTATCTGTCAAGTAGAAGTGTCCGAATTTTCACTCCGGCGTTTCGATCTAGACAGACTGACGACAGAGGAAGTGAGTTAAATAAAAGCTTGTAAAAACCACTTATTCCAATCTTGCAGATATGATGACACATACCACCTCACAATGTCATACACTGATGGAAAAACTCAAGAGGAGAGGTCCCAGTCAATCTCCAAGTGTGTCGCCAACTTCTTTGATGAGAAAGGCACATTCTGCCAGGATTTGTTTCACCCAGTCATTGAGAAATTGAAGCAAGACTTGTCTAATGACAAGAAAAAACAATAATATCTATATTTCCATTGTTGTCTTTTAGCATCAAACTCGAGGCTTCATTGTATGGGTGGGATTTTATTTCGCCTTTTTGCATTTATTTATTTCATAGCTCTGATTGATATCTTTGAAGTTAAGACCACATAATTTTAAAATATAGATTCCCTGATTGATGTTTACAGTGTGATATTGGTTCTAGAATATAGTTCAAGTTCCAGTACAATTAGGTTATTGTTTTTAAAATTTTCATTTGATATGATCTAACAGTCTTTTTTTTTTTTTTCGTTGCATTGCTTTGTTAATTTTTTTTAAAGTCACTGCTGTTAACCATTAGTCACTTATTCTACAATATATATATATATATATATATATATATATATATATATATATATATATATATATATATATATATATATATATATATATATATATATATATAGGAGAGTATACAGAGAGCTGATTTTTGCCTTTGTTTATTTGTTTTGTATTTTTTAAAGGGTATAATGTAGGAAAATAATTCAACCAGAAAATAAAATCTTGCTTATAATAATTACCATTAAAAATTTAAATATTTTTCTCAGTTTTTGCCTGTTTTTTTTATTGATAAATATATGACTTTGCTAAATTATCACAAAATATTAACAAAAGAACTGCACTGTTAATAAGTTAAAGAAAAATAGGCCCAGAGTAAACAAAGCTGCATCACCTTCCAGGTATTTAGTACATCTGCTTGTATGGACTCATAAGTAAGTTATTTTTCCAAAGATAAAGCTGTTGTTGAATGTAAGTTTTGAAAAGTATTACTAATGATATTTTAGTTAATCTAAACAAATATTGAATTGATTTTTTAAAGCATGAAAGAAATATTTTCTAAATTTAAAAAACAAGCAGTTTCAACACTATTAAAATTCATAATGTAACCGACATCTGTTTTTATTTACTGATGCTCATTTAAAATCAAAATGTATTATTTTCTTATGTTCTATAATGTTTGTATCTGTGCTGTTATAGAATGAAGTAAATTTGAATTGATGGTTTCTTGACATTCTTTTTTTGACCATTCTTTTAAGACAACTGTTAAAAACTTCACAGTCTAATGATTTAGCAACCATTTTGGTGATGGTGATCATTTTTCTTTATATTGGCTTATGGTCTTTTCTTATATATTTTTTGTACAAAAAAATATATATACTTTTACATAACAATGTAAAAATGTGTGTTAACATATACTTATAAGCACAAATCTCAGAGGTGCCTCAAGCCATTTTATCAAAATTTCTTAGTATGGTCATCGAGTTCATTTTTACCTTTTATCAATATACTTATTCATTAAATGAGGTTTCTTTTAGATCATTAAATGGTAGCTTATAGTATAAAATGGTAGCTTATAGTATAAGCTACAGGAGAACAATTCACAATATTAGGTTTATTATAATTTTAATGCTGCATGTTGTGTATATCCTTCTTTTGTGTGTCAGTGAATATGTTCTTGAAAACTCTTTATATCTTGTAAAAGGATCATGAGATGCTTTGACTACACTAAATTAGAACTTACCACCATTGCCCAATGTCATGATTTTGTTTTGTGAAATAAAATGCAGTACAATATTAATGGGTTTATTTTTACTTTCTCATATATGAAGTAGGCCTATAGAGAAAGTATTGTAATCTTGCACAAAATCAAAATTTTCCAAATCTCGTAGTTTTACACCTCCCTGGGTTGGAAAAAACTTGTTTTACAAATTTGTCTACATGTCTGTCTGTGAACACGATAACTTGAGTACCATTTCAGCTATGTTGACAATAGTTCATATATAAGTATTATATCAAATTTGTAGTTCCGTATCAACTTTTCAGTTATTTCCAGAAACTAGAACTTATTCTACTTTTGGTTTTTCAAAAGCCTATACCTTAAGTACTGTTTCTGTCAGAAGAAATTTCACATGTATGTAGAATATCTATATTTTTTTTGTTTTCTGACAAATTTTCAGTAATTTCTCTTGAATGGAAGTAGTACTTTACCCTAATTCCAATTTCTAAAAAAAACAGGAATTTATTTTTAACTTGATTCCTCTGTATTTCTTTATAAAGTACTAATGCTCCATGCTGTTGTGCAGATTATTTACTGTTCATTTGGTGAGCAATTCTTTTTTTCTGCTAGATTCTATTTAAAAAATTTAAGTTTTTGAAAATTGATTTTTAAAAATGTCTGCACTGGAGTTGCCATCCCTATTAGTGTGATCTAAGAATATTTGAGAAAGCTTAGGGGAGGTCACTCCCACTTTATTCTATTATACAGCAAAGAATTCTGTGCTGTTTGTATTTGTTAAACTGAAATATTCCATTTAAAAATAGATGCACTCAATTGTTTCCAGAAGTTTTTGAATAATCTGTTTTTGAACTTCTGATTGTAGGGCTCTCTCTATGTATACAATAACATATTATGTAAAAGTTTATTATAATTAATGGGGGATTCATTATATTAATACTCATTTTCAGACCGAAGCAAGCACTACTTTACTGTTAACTCTTTTATTGAACTCAGATTCCTTTACTTGCTAACTGTACAACACAGCCATATATTCAATCTTGACCTTTTACTTCCATTTTATCCGATCCCCAGCTATTAATTTTGCCGTCTCCCAAGACATCCCTGTTGACTTTAGTTCTTCGAGAAGACTCCGCCTCCAGGTCTGTCTTGGGCGCCCTCTTCCACTTTCCCTGGGAGTTCCACTCAAGCGCTTGGCGTGCAACATTTGGGTGAGCCTTTCATGGCGTGTGTCCCACCCAGCGCCACTTCCTCATTTCCACAGTCATAGGCTCCTGCCTTGCTTTCCTATGAGGATAGGTTTCTTTTGGGACAGTTGTTTTTGGGCTGTGAATTTAGTTTTCCTCGGTTGAAGAAGGGGCGTCAGCTCTGTAGCTTCCTTGCGGATTTGGCTGCATTGCGTCATACTACTAAGTGGAGCCCTGGTTCTTCGGAGGACTGGATTAATTTCAGATTTGGCTTCGGTTTCTGTAACTATACTTTGTTCTATGTGGACGAGTAGTTAGCCCATTGCACAACCCCCAACCTGGAGGACCAGATCTGTCCGACTTGGTTAGACCTGCCAGGAGGCTCCCGCCAGCATAGCTCTGGGGGTCGCTGGGGCACACAAGCCATCCCACCACTTCAAGGCGGTGTGCCATCAGGATGGATGTATTCAATAATGAGACACCATTTTCAGATGTTGGTTGGAGAAATTATAAAAAAATGATTATTTTTATAAACAATATCACCTAAAAAAGAATGAAGACGTCAAGAAAAATTCAATAGGATTTATTTAATAAATAAACCAATGTTTTGTCTTTCAGCATCACTAAGTACATAAAATGTATTTCCAACAATTGAAACAACACATGAGAACAAGAGTTGTAGCAATAGCTCAGCTATTTACACATTTACACTGTCAAAATTACAAGTTAACATCAACACAAAACTCTTATCAGGTTAAAAACATAGTGTACAAGTATTTCTATTTACAAAACTTGCAAAGCAATTACACCAAGACCATGATAAATTTCACTAGAATTTACAAATAAATGTTTAAAGAATGAAAACATTACATATTTTAGCAATAAGCCTCAAAACATCTTGAAGCACCTCGTAATACAAAAAATTTTAATTGTAAATTTCATTTTTTTTGTTAAATTTGTAATCAGATGAAATATTTGGAAATATATGCTGATGCACAGGATTAAAAACTGTTATTCACATATTAATACATCCATTGTTAAAATTGTATACTGTACAAATGAACTCATGGAATTATAAAACTTGAAACTGAATGCCTTTTAACTTTATCCAACCCTTTGCTTTTAAAGCCTCCTTATTAAAAAAAAATTGTTAAATAAAAAAGGTTTTGTATGGTCCCACAAGTACTTCTATATAGTTTTTTTTACTTTTTTTTTCTTCAGCTGCATTTGTTGAAAACATAAATATTCACTGCTTTGGGTTGAAAAGTAACTTTTAATGTTATAGCTCCTGTGAGCTATACATTAAATAATATTCATAAAAGGTTGTTTTTTTTAGTGCATTTACTTGTAACTAAATCTTTAAGTAGCTGGGATAAAATATAAAGATGTAACATTTTAATTTAAAAGTATTAAAAAAAACTTACTTTATAAATTCTATAAAACTGTAAAATATTAAGTTAAAAAAACTACATAGGGCCTATGATAAATTAACGCTTAAAAAATTAAAACTGTTACATATACTGAGGAAGCTGAAATATATTTGAAATAAATACACTGGAAAAAGTTTATATGAACATGACTACTAGTTCAAATTTTTTAACATTAAAGTGTTGAGCTTTAAAAATACTATCAGTATTTCATTATATAGAAAAACAATTGTTATTGCTAAGCAACAATAATGATTTAAAATATCTATACATATAATAAGTAAGAATTAGCTGTTTCTGAAGTTTTGATATGATTGTATTATTGATTTCAGTTCAGAATGTAGTCAATACTTGCTCATCAACTTTAAAAGCTAGTTTGAATTTCATATAATCTTGATTTTAGTTTCATTTTATTTCTTTTTTTTAAGTTAAATTAATCAGTCTAATGGACATAAGCAGTGAAATTCACGATAACGTCTATTGTTGTTAGTTATTGATATTTTTAAACTGTATCATCAAAATATCATTTTTACTTAATGATAAATTGTTCTTTATAGAGTTTTTAGGGTTGGAATTCAAGTAATTATTTCTACTTAACTAAATTCCATTGCAATTATATCAATTTAAATTTTTTAAGATTTGGGAACTGCTTTCTCATCAGCTTTTGGGCGCTTCAATGGAGATGATGCACTCTGCATGAAAGCCTGAATGAATATTAATTTGAAAAAGTTAATAAATGAAACAAAAAATGAAGGGAAAGTAGAATAGAATTTTAATCTAAAGGATTTGAGTTTAATGTGATTACAAATATGAAAAGCTACCCCATCCCAAAAGTAATACTGATTAAAACTAAATGGCTCTTTAGTCTGATAGGTAATTGGATAATGGTGCCTTGAAAATCAAAGTGAGAGGTAATACCTATTAACAAATACATCAATTCAAGCAATCTTAGGTGCTAAATATCTGCTTGCTCTATTCATTCATGGTGAAAGATACTTTAAAGGTTGCAAGCTTATGTTCTCTATTTGTCCTGAAGACCAATTCAATAACAGTCATATTACCTTGGTTTAATTCCTCAGATGAAATGTGATGAGAATGGCTATAACTTGTGGCTAAATATTTCAGTTCAACACCATATTCTAACACCTAATTATAAATTTAGTATAACAAAATCTGTACAAGTAAAACAAAATAAAGAACAGGTCTAACCTTGCTGGTCTGCTTCTCTTGTAGTTTGGCCAACTCTGACCTGTAAAAGGTCATGACCTCATCACAGTCCCTCCTCACCTTGGTGCCCTCACTGTTGTACAGGTAGCAGTTGGTCCTGATCAGCTCCATGTCCGACTGGAAGTCCTCAAAGCAGCTGTACTGGCCAGTCTAAAATTTTAAGGGACTAGCGTGAACTTCAGGGGAATATTTACTGTCATGCTATATCTAAGAGAAAATTTACTGTAACGACATTGCTAATGGAAAATTCACTGTAATGGTAATGGCAAATTTACTGCAATGCTAATTCTAAGGTAAATTTTACTACAATTGGTTAAATAATCATTAAACAAGCCAATATAATTGAAACATATTTAAAAAACAAATTTAAAAAATAATAAAACATGTTTACAGTAATTACAGGCATTGAGAATATCATTTAGTAGCAGCCTGCCTAAAAGAGCAAAGGAATTTTATTTGTATAAAGTTAATACAACCACAGATGTGCCACAAAATGACAAGAAAAATAGCTGATCTGTATGACACTTTGTAATAAAGCTTACCTCAAGTTTTTTGCGCATTGTAGAAAAATCCATAGGATTTTGTATCACTGTGTAGTAATCTGGTGCATCTGTAGAGTCCACTGAAGGAAACAACAACTATTTTAACATAGAACTTAGTGGGTTAAACAAAACTATTTTAACATAGAGCTTAGTGGGTTAAATAAAACTATTTCAACATAGATTTTTGTGAGATAAATGTAACTATTTTATCAAGGGTGTTAATATGCTTATTTTAACATTACCATTTTAAGATAAAGCTTAGTGGGTTAAACCTGCAAATAGTATTAGTTAAAACTATTGTCAGTCGGTACACATTTTGCACTGTAGTTACAAAAAAATGTTTACCAGGAAATGTGAACCATTCTGCAGCTGGTATCTCATTCCTGTCTCTTGGTGAACCTTTAAATCTGGCAACCTTCATCAGCAAACTGGGGATAAACAATTGGTTTTTATATAAAACTTGGATTATATGATTTGGCAACCTTCATTAAAAACTGGAGAGGGAAGGGGGGGAATGTTTGTATAAAAACTGATTCTGTAACCTCATAATTAATGCTCATACTCAGAAAATGACTCAATACCATCTCCAATGAAGGGTTGGTTACTTAAAGAAATGGAAATTGGGGCTATTTCAGAACTAATCGGAAAAAAGAAGATGGTGCTGGATGGGCCATGTTTTAAGGATGAGACCATATGTTATCACAGAAATGGCATGGAACTGGACAGCTCAAGTAAAAAGAAAACAGGGAAAGCACAAAGAGAGACCTGGAGGCACACAGCAGAAAAATAACTGACAAGAGCAGGACTATCTTGGGGAAATCTAAAAACAGTTGCCAGAGACATTCAAAAGTGGAAAGAGTTTTCTGTGGCGGCGCTATGTGTCCTGGGCACTTAAGGGAATAGATACAAAAAACTGTTGGGGGTGGGGTTTATTCTGGCTGCTCACCTGGCTGCTGCCTTGACCCAGCTACCTGGAGCTGCTTGTGATGGTTCGTCTAGGCCCGACGGATGCTTGCGTTTTCTTTTGCTGCTTCTAATCAGCCCTGAGGAATCGGCTGACACAATGCCATCACTGTGAGATTCCAGATCACTGCCTGCAGCTGAAACAAAAATAACAGTCTTTATTTTAAACCACATTTAACAAATACATTTAATTATAGTCAATGTAACTTTAAATAATATTTCATTGTATCATTTTTTACCATGATTAATAAATCAATATTGAAATTAACTTTCTGTACAACTGAGTATTTAACCAAGGAATTTCAAGATGTATTTTTTATGAAGAACACCCACATTTTTATCTATTTTAAAAACATTCATCTAATTTTCAGCCCAAATGTCCTTTTATCATTTTCCCTGCAGCACAGAATGAGAGCAAATAAACTAATATCCAAGACTTACTTGATCCAAAATCCTCATGTAAACTAGTGCAGGATTCCGTCACTGAGTCGTGCATGTCACCTGTTCCAGACAGGGTTGATCCGCTGTTGTCATGCTGACTTATCACCTGTGACCAATACAAGTGAAAGCTTACAATCAGCAATTTGTTGAACTCATAAATACATGTTACCCTTCACAGTTTGACAAATAACGTTCCCATATAAATAAAATTACTGAATGACATTAATGGACAGAAGTTGTAAGCAAATATTGGCTGTTGCTTTGGAAATGTTTGCTCTTAGAAGAGATTATGTCTATAATGGAATCTTGTGACAAATAATTTTTTCGTAAAAAACAATAATTTCTCATTTTTATATCAAAGAAATAATTGTTTCTTTAAAAGTCATTATTTGTGACTATAATTTTTTTTAAAAAGTGTTTGTCAAAACAAAATGTAAAGCTGTCTGTAAACCTGACTGTTTACAGTAGTACTTACACTGAGATGAAAAAACACCTAGTACATCAACTATATAATACTGATGCATGTGCTGGACAAGGAAGAAACTCATAACACAGACAAGAAAAAGAGAAATGAGAAGAATCCTACCTGCTCATCTTCTTCAATCCCCACCCTTTGACTGGTTAACTCATCGAGTTTGAGTGTAATGACTGAAGCTGATGGCTCTCCAGTGACACTCACAGGTAAGGCATTTGTCTGTGTGCTGGGTGTGGTACTTGAGGCCACCTGTTTTAGATGGTTTACGGTGAAAACTATAGTTCTATTTTAAAACTTAAGTTAATGGGTTAAATAAATTCATGTTCAGTCATTTCCTAATGATACTCAACATGAGAGTGATGGTGTAGTCGAAAGGTAGAGCATAGACTGCTAACCCGAAAGTCTCGAGTTTGAAGGTCACTGAGTCCAACTAGCTATGATGGGTCACTGACTCACGTAAAGGAAAGTAAAAGCAGCTGGGCATAGTGCTGACCACATTATCCCTTCAGGTCACAGAAACAGGTGAACTCTACTTTACTTGCCACATGGACTGTCAGGTTTTAAAGCGAACTTTATTTCCTTTTAACTCAACATCAGCTGAGGACTTGCATATTATCTGACCATACAATGCTGTTATAAGCAGAGGCTATAAAAACAGTTGAAATTGAAAGTAAAAAAAGAGAGCTTCTCTATACTTCAAAACTTTTCTATGGTGAATTTAAGGCTGATTTATCAGTGCAATAAGTTTATAAGTTGTTTTTATTTAGCTAGTCCAAAAAGTTGTTTTTGTATTGATTGAAGAATAAATAAATTGTTCTTTAAAGGTCCAAATCTTTCAATGGCTAAAAGGCTTATTGTTGCTAGCACAATCCCAGCTGAGTTCTAAATAAATGTATTGAAACCAAGAACCTCTAGATGAGTTAAACTACCAGACTACCATTTGTCTTATCAACTAATGAAATATAGATTTTGTTCAAATACTTTTTAAAGTTTCACAGAAAAAAAAATTAAAATCAGGAGAAGATAAAATAAATTGTAACGCCTATTCCGTAAGACCCTACTTTAAACATTTATCACAGCCTACCTGAGGTAAGACGCTGATAAAATTACTCTGTGGCTTGTTGACAATGGGTCTGTTGACCTCCTGCACTGAGATGAAGGATGATGATGAGGGTGAGGATGACACCGATGACGCTGTGGAGGGCAGTGATGTTGATCTTGAAAGCTGTGATGGTAGAGAAACTAACAGGTTGCCATGGGTTACAATAGACTCTGTCTGCTGCGAAGCTGGGTTGGTCACTGTCAGGATCCTCGTACCATCTTTGGCTGTAAAAATTGCATTTAGAAAATACTAATATTTTGGTAAAAACATTTTTATAATACTATTCACCAAGGTTTTATCATGAGCTCCAAAGTTAAAATTACAACTGGGTGGAGATGACATGACTAAAAAAAACCAACAGACAAGTCACTACAGAAGGACAGTCATTGTAAAACTAAAAAAAAAAAGTCCATTCAGGTACTATATGAAGGATCCAGTTCATGTTTTTTGACCATGTCTTGGGAGGAATTTTTGGTTGCACTATACCTAGATACCTTTCCATTACTTAAATTAGACATGCATAAATATTAGATTAAGCCTTAACTTTCAGATTAGTAACTGCATGTTCTACAACTACCACACAATACCATTAACTTCTACCATTTTATGTAAAAAACAAAAAAGTAAAATAAAATTGTTTTGGAAAATTGTTAATATATTAACCTGTTTCTTCACGTAAAACCTCAGCCATACCAGGTCTTGAACTAACAGCATCCCCTAAAATGTGTCCCACATTGGTCACAGGGGAATGGACTGGCATGTCATTGTATGCATCATCCCCTTCATCGTCATAGTCTTCTTCCTCTTCTTCCTCCTCATTATAAGAGTCTAGGTTGATCTGCGCCTCAGCTAAAGAGCTACTGAGCAAGTCTATGGGCTGCGTGACAGTCACTGATGGCGGTACAGCCGACGAGGGCTGCCCCACTGACGGTAGCGTGGATGAGGTGTGTGCTGGTGGTGTCAGTGTTTGTTGCGGGGTGGTGTATATCACTTCTGGTGGCTTTAATTTGACACCGGTGTCGTGGTAGTTGTCTGGGGGTGGGGGGTTGCTCGCTGTCACTTGGTAGAACAGACCTGTCTGGGTGTCAAGCTGACCTTCTTTGAGCCCTTCTTCTGAAAGAAATAAAAAATTAGTCTTCTGTATATAGGACCAAATTCAAAATTTTGAATTTGTCAAAACTATGTGGGACTACACAAAAATAATGATTCAAATTTGCTGTAACTTTTCTACTAAAAATTGAAAGTCAATATGAGACTTAATTTTTTTTTAATTTAAAAAAAATTTATTTTTGTAAAAGTTACTGCAGATAATGTAAAGATATAGCCGCAGAATTGTTGAGGTGAATCAAGACTGTGTCTTACCTGGGGAGACAATGACTTCACCTAGCACAGTTTCAGCATGAGGTCCAGGTGTTTCTTTATTGACTTCACTGACAAATCCTTTGTTGTTTGTTGTTAAAATACTCACCTAATGAACACAAATAAATTAATGACTAACTAATTAAATTTAGCTTATAATACACATGTTCTGATTTTTATTTAATTTGTATTACTATTAAAGACTTAAATTAGAACATTAGTAAAGATTAAAACATTTTTATAAAGTGGTTTCTTTTTATAAAAATAAATTTCTATAGACCTAATACATTTCAGGATCTGACCTATAGAAACTAAATTATAGAAAACTTTTTTCTTATTTCTGACTAAAGAAACTAACTTTTTTTAAAAACTGTATCCTATGTTGCTAGTTATTAGTGGTTTTACTTTTTACTTTATTAATTTGTTCATCGAAGTATTTGTTTCTACAGCCACAATTATTTTCAATAACATTTTATGAATCAACAAATCAAATAAACAGGTTTCACCTTTAAAATGGGAATGCTACAAAATAAATGTGAACAAAACTTTTACCTTAGGTTGAACATGTATATGAGTAATTGGTGGAATAACAGATGCAGATGTAAGAATTGATGGCAGGATGGAGGAAGATGTTATCTGAGGGGGTTCAGGTTCTGTGAGGTCGACAACTTCTTTATTTAACAGGGACATTGCTTGTTCTGAAACATATAAATTCTTTGCTGCATTATACAAGTCATTTAAAAACTACAAATCTGTATGTAACAAGTCTATGTCAATTTTAAAGGTAAAATAGCTTTATAATTAAGTTTATTAAGTGGTAGAAAAAGGATGATGACAGTTACCTAAAGTGAACACTTGTTCTGTTCTTGAGTCACATTCTGGACTTTCCCTTAAAAAAAAAAGTTTATTCATGAAACAATCTTGCCTCAAAATTACTATATTTTATTTTATTGGAGCCTTAATTGGTCCATTTCCTTACTCCAAAAAATCCAAAAATTGACTAGCATCCAACTTTAACAAAAATCAATTACAACAAAATTATTTCTCTAATAAAACAAAAGGGAATTAAAATAGTTTGTGTATAAACCTTTTATCTTCAGTATGAACATTAAATGTATATGTATCTTCTTCTTGCGCTTCTATAACCTCTTGTGATACTGACTGTCGCTGCAGAGGCAGCCTTGTAAAAATTTGCTGTTGTTTAAATGGAGCTAAAGTGGGTAAATTTACGGTGACTGGCTGGGACGTGCCATCAAGATTTTCAAATTCATATGGATCTGTTCCCTGAGCTGTGAGAGTAATACAAGAAAGTGGGTTAAAACATATTAAGGGCCTTAAGAAATAAGTATAAAATAAAAAATGATAAGTACAAATAGTTACAAAATTATTTTAATGACGAAATACGAATTTAGGTTTAGAAAAAAAAAACAGAATAGTTAATGAATTGTATAAATTATATAGGAAGTTGTAGTCTCTGGTTTGGATCTTGGACTCAAATCTGTAAGATCTCAGTGAGCCACCAAAATCTGTAAGATCTCAGTGAGCCACTCAAATCTGTAAGATCTCAGTGAGCCACCCAAATCTGTAAGATCTCAGTGAGCCACCCAAATCTGTAAGATCTCAGTGAGCCACCCAAATCTGTAAGATCTCAGTGAGCCACCCAAATCTGTAAGATCTCAGTGAGCCACCCAAATCTGATTGGTACCTGAATCTTGTTAGGAAAAGTAAGGGCTGCTGGGCACCAGTATTTAATATGCCGTGGACAAGAAACAGATTAATACTACTTCATCTGCCTTATGGAATGTAATGTCCAAAAGGGGAACTTAATTTATAATTTTATAATTAGTCTTATACTTATAATTTTATAAAATTTATAATTGACTTTATTTTAAAGCATGTTCTACCTGTAGTTTCCACTGTAGCCCCTTCTGGTTGCATCCCAACTGCTTGTATTAACTCGGCTAATAAAGATGTTTTGCTCTCTCCATCTGTGCGGCCACGGTGAATTATTGATATTGGCTATGGGTAAAAGAGTTATAAAACTAAAAATTTTAAGAGTAACACTAAATAATAAACAGAACACAGATTAATTAGCAGATAAGGTATAAGCAATATAATGGGAGGGGAGGGTGTGAATGTCTGGGTGATTTAAAAATAAATTACGGCCAAGGTATTAAAATAAGAAAGATTGGAAGAACAATACTTTATGACTGAACTAACAAACAAGAAGATTTTAATAAAATTCAATACCCATTAATTGATTTTTTTTCAGTACTGATAAGGTGCACAATTACTAATGAAAAGACAGTATTAAGACCAATAATAATAACTTCTTTGTAACCTTATTTTAAAACAGTATATTTAAAAGTACTTGCAGCCTGAATGAATTTGTTACCTGTTGTTTTGACTCCCCGCTGCTGCTACTTGTTGTTATGATAACTCTCCTCTCCCCCCCTCGTCCAGTGCTAGCAGTGGTCACAGACTGCGTAGAGGCTGTTAGCACATGTCGACCTTGAGCATCTTTATGCACCAAGCCCATTAATTCCTAATCAAATGATTCAACACTGATCATCAGAATGTAACAGGTATAAAAGTCAAATTATCAGGCCACATTTAAACTCACTAAATAATGTAACACAATCTGGCAAGCTTACCTTGTCAATAGCACCTGGCAAACCGGATGTTGTAATAGTTCTTATATTTGTTGCTCCTGCACCTATGGGACTCGGAAACCTTGCATGTTGTGTCTTTTGTACAACAATAACATTTGGCTTGGATACTGTGGAAATAAACAAACTATTCTGACACTTTTGTAGAATATTATAAAATATAAAATATCCATGAATACATAAGCTGCCTGGTAGTTAATAGACCAATACATTGAAAGGTAGCCTTGTGTAGTAGAAAATAATCTTTCTATTATGTTCAGATTTTAATTATAAAGTTAGACTAATTTACACCTCTACTGTCCAAATTTTGAGACTCACCTGTGGTGCTCCCTGATCCAGATTTCACTGCGGTCAGATGCAAGGTCTTAGGGTTGACTGTCACAACATTGGTGGCCTTAGTTGTCGTAGCAATGACACGACCCCCAGGTGTTGTGATATTTAAAACCTTTCCTCCTGTGTGAGCTAGAATATTGATTAGGGAACTATTTTTAGTCTCAAATGCCAGGAAAAAGCTATTTTTACATAATAATGATGTAAGCGGTATTTTCTTCCAGAAACACAAAAATTCCATGACATTCACTTTTTACACATTAAAAGCATTTTATGTTTACAACATACATAAGGGATAGCATCCCCATTCTAATAATTATTAACTTATCTACAAAGTGATTCTTTAAAAAGTTGTAATCCACCAATGATGTCCGAAAGTAGCAGACCAATTACTATATTCACAGATGATTTGCACACTTTCAGACAAGAACTTGACCAGGTTCCTTATATAAATACATCCTACCTGTGTAAGATGAGATTGACCTGGGCAGCATTGTCACACCTGAGCTGCCACCTGTTGTAGACTGCCCAGCATTGACCATTACAACTGGTGTCCCACCAGTGCCTGTTATTTGTGATGGCTTCGGCAGAATTTTACTGCCACTTTGGGTGATAATTTTCATACCAGCTGTAAGGATGAAAAAATAAATGATATGAGGAAAATCTATCAGTTTTTAGCGCAATTTCCATTCTGGAGAATTGCGTTTATTAACTCGTCATTTCTGGGAATGGATGGATGGATGAATGAATGTATGGATGAATGTGTGTCCGGGCTTTAAGTCGTATCTCCTCCTCAACGAAGCAATATCGATGACTAGTTCCAAAAGCAATTATGTTAAGCAAGTTACGAGAATGAGCATAGGCCATAAAAATTCCGGGTTTCTTTCATGTATTTCCCGGAAAAGCCAAAAAACCTCGAAAAAATGCAGTTTTTGGCCCATATCTCGGCAACCAGACCACTTAGCGACTTGAAACATGTACCAATCGATTCCTGCCATAATTTAGAACAATATTGCCGAAGAAAGTTTTCAAAAATATCCTCTCGTTCGGTCACAAATTTTAAAATTACATAAACACCTACAAACCGATCGTTCTTCTAGCTTGAACGCACCCCAGAATTATACGTCAGAGCTATTTTTAGATAACATAAGGAAATTGCGCATAAATGTCACTAGACTTTTTTAATTAACTTGTTTATCAATGTAAGGATAAAAAATTAACAATAACAGAAATGGAAATCTCCAAAGAAACAATAAGCAATTATATGAATAATCTCAAAAAGAAATCATTGCATTGTACTGTGTGTAATTAAATTAAAATCACTCTATCATTACATTAAATACAATTGCATTTACTGCAGCTGAATTAAAAATTAAATTTGAAACTGATGTTAAAATAAGAAGATTATATATTTTATTTTAAAGACAAATAGTACATAACTAACAAAACTTGCGCAAGAAACAAAATAAGTTGTCTCTCGGAAAGTATGAATCCTTGCACTGTAGACCTCCAATGAAGTTTAAGTATTTTCAATTAATTTCAAAGCACTGTTAATTTAATTTTCATAAACAAACTAAAAAAGTATTATACCTCCTTCCTGTTTGATCTGTATGGTGGGTTTGTTGAGTGTCTTGACCTGGATCCCACCAGCCAGATGTTGAGGCTGGCTGACCTGAATGGTTGAGGTTGAGTGCTGCGGCTGAGAGATTTGTAAGCCAGCTGGAATATTCTGTGAGGGGGAGACTAGCTGGGGACCCATGGGTATAACCACGCCAGGCTTTTGGGTTGGCTATATTAAAATAATGAATTGAACTTCATTGTTAAAGATGCAAATGTAGCACACACAAAAAAATACTGAAAAGAGCTATATATTGAGAATATGGTTATAATCCCACTTGTGCATATAGTACAAACAGCATAAAAAATTATGTAATGTGAGATAAAGTTAATTGAAAATTGCCTTTTATAACAAAATCAAACCTTACAATCATAGCCGGGTAACGCTGACGAGGAACTATTCTAGGGCGAACTTTTCCTAAACCAATTTGGACTGAGGGACTAAACATACCCTGTGAAGACCCTATGGTTGAACTGGGTATAGTAACTGAAAACATGAAATAAAGATGTATACAATGAAATATTTACCATTTGATGTAAATATTTGACTAAGGTGGCTCTATTATTAAAGATGCTACCATAATCATGACCCCCAAAAGTAAAAAAAAAACCTGATATGAAAATTAAATAGTGTAGGCTATTCCTGTGTGTTTATAAAAACCAAAAAATTAATAACTTATTCCTTAAAGCCAAACTGTTGACACAACATAATTAATTAAACGGTAATCAGGTTTTATGCAGAGAATAAGATTTTCAGTAAATTCTACTTGAGCCAAAGTAACAAATTATTAAAGGAAGTTATATGAAACCTTCAATAAAAAACCTGCTGGGCTTACCAGTGGTAGAGACGAGACTAGTGTTTGAGGTAGATGTCACAATCCCAGGGTAGGCTGAGACAACTTGAGCAACCGAGGATGACACTGGACCAGATGGCATGAGGACAGAGGACCTGGGTAAACTTTGACCCCCAAATGTTGATAAAGTGGTGGGTGGGGTTCTTACAACAGGAACTGACATGGATCGTTGAATAACTGTCGTACCTGAAGCAGGACCAGCACTTGTCACCAGAATCACCTGTGCGTTGTAGAAAAAAAAAATGTTAATTTTCAAAACTTCAATTTAATCTTTTTAATTTATTATCAAAAACTTAACAGTTCTCTAGAATTAATTTTTTTTTAAGCTGATAGTATTTGTTGATATTTATCGCACACAATTTGAATAAAGCAATCACTAGGAAAGTTAAGACAAAATACAGAAAAACGTTTAACCTTGGGTGGTTGGGATGTTGACTGAACACTTATTGGTCGACCCTGGGGGCTTTTACTAATGGTAATTTTTACAGGTGAGGTACAAGGCATGGTGCTTGAGGCTGTCGTGTAGGTCAAACGAGGAGTTTGTGTGGAGACGGAGGCTGCACTGTTGCTGTCTGTGGATAGACTACGGTTGCTGCTGCGCCTTGAGGGCATACACAGCTCTTCTTCATCATCCTGGTTCAGCATACCTGTGTACAATAGCAATCCAGTGAAAATACACAATTTGTATAGACCACACTAGTAAGTTATTTTGAGCTAGGTTGAAAAAATTCAATGCAATCAAATGATAATGTATTAATAAATATATATCCCTGGTGATTGGATAAATGGTTAAAATACACAACCAATTTGTTATATAATTTTTTTTTTATTTTGCATTATGAATATAATCAATTTGTTTTTATTTCAAATCTTTTATTGTGTTACACAAAAAAAAATAAAACATAAAGATTAGAAAAATATGATATTCACAAATCTAAGTTCTAAACTGTATATTAAAAGATTAGACCTAAGTAGCTCGAATACTATAGTGTTTAATTGAAAAATATTTGAAGTATTTAAATTTACTTTATATACATAGTAAATATTCCCCCTTTAGTTAAGTTATATTTGTAAAGATAATGCACCTTTAATATGAATGGAAGTTCCACTTGGAAGGACCACAACATTTGAATTTGGACTAGAAGGACGAGGTGGTTTTGACAGTATGGCTGTGGGTCCTGTTGAAAACAAAAAATTATTTTTAACTCAGACGTCACAGTGATTCTATACAAATTAAATTTTAAGATCATGTTTTAATTAACAATGCAAATTACTAGATTAAAAAAAACTCAAATGAATGAATATTTTTAAGGCTAATTTACCATAAGGATATCTTTATGAACAATTCTTACCATCTTTATTAGAAGTCTGTGAAGGGGGAGGCAGTGATGCATTCTTTTCCATCATAGCAGTAGCAGCCTGATTGGCGGTGGCAGTGAATGCTGTTTGCGGTACAAGTCTAGGCATCAGAGGCACCAGGCGCCGCCCTTCAATGGTCCACTCATCTGTACTTATAGTACCAGCAATACTATTGGTGAAATAAATAGGAATTACCCTCCTCTACCAACCTGGGCAAGTCCATAAATGATGTCATACTCAGACTTTTGTAACTATGTGTGCTGATGGATAGGTGTTTAAGAATGTGTGACATGACATTTTTTTTATTTCTTATGGACAAAAAAAGTTGAGAAACATGTTATCAGGATGAGTGTTGCATTTTGTAGTTATTTTAAGATAGATGAATCAGGCACTTTGTGATGCAACTATTGTGGGTTTGTGAAGAATCACCTTAAAAAAGTGTGACATCATTTATGGATTACCTTTTCCTAGGATAATTTGGTATTAACAATTTTAAAAAATACTTTAAAATTTAGATATGAGAATTAATAAGACACAATGTTTCTAATTAGTTGTATCAGAGTATAATTAACATTTCAACAACTTACTTATCGGCAATAGTTGCTAACTTTTCATCATTAATTGCTCTTCGCACTTCAGCTCTGTGCCTTTCAGTGGAAATGCTAAATGTGTAAAAAAAAATACAGTATAAAAGAAAAATCTTATTTTAAAAAGTAGAAGCTAAAGGATCTTCCATTATGATATTCAAAAGACTAAAAAAAGGTGCAACTGAAATATTTTTTAAAGGTAAATTTAACATGATAACGTCCACACCAACCCCTCCACCTGTGAGTCATTACCTTGAGTCTTGAGGTTAGTTTAATATACTCAAGGGATGGGATTCTTTTTTTTGAAGGATTTTTCAATGAACACAGATAATGAACTCAACCAAAATATAACCTTATTCATAGAAGAGCTATAGTTGTGATGAGCTTTTAACATTAAAAAAATTCTAAGTTATGATCTGGCTCTACCTTAGAGTTTGTTGCAGATCCTGCAATATTTTCTTCTTATCTTTTGAAAGATCTCCTTGTGCCCGGAACACAGAAATAATAGATGCATAGGCTTCCAGCTCCAAACGCCGTAAAATGCGCTTAGATTCATCTTTGGTATAGTCAAGTAGCATTGGCCACATTTTTCTTGTAAAATCATCTGATTCAAATTAAATCTGAGGATAAATTATCCGTTTGCTGTATTTAAAGTTAAATTAAAGGCACAAGTTATATATTTTTCAATTTTCAGGATCAATGCACTTTTAAAGAGATGAATAAAATAGATGACTATAATTTTTTTTTAAATTAAATCAATGTTACATATATAAACAATTTACTTGTTTCACAAAATAGTAAAAAAAAAAAATTCTTATTACCTTTAATATTGTCAAGCATACACACATTGAATACAAGCATTGAATAAAAAACATGAATTGAAAAAAAATTTAGCTTTTATAAAACATTATCTAGCTTAAATAAATCTCTACTTTTTTCTTCATCTAAAAGCTTATTTCTTATTTTTGATGGGTGATTATAAAACACAACATATAAGAAGATGCACCTGCAAAGTTATTGGAACACCCTGGATTGGTGAAAATTCAATGGTAAGATTAAGCAGTTATTAAAAAAACAATAATTACAGTTAATATATTTTTTTTAAACACAGATGAGATTACTGTAAAACTTTTTGAAAGTATTACTTCCATAACCATGACAACAATACTGGCAGAAAATTTATTTTGTCTCACTGGCATTTTTATAAAAACCAAAAAAAAAAGCTTAATAACCAATAGCAATTTTATCTATAAGTTATGAAAATTTTAATGGGTAACTATTTTCAATAGAAATGCTAATGGGTCACAAAGATGAATTATTACACATTTTGTTAAAAAAAATTTTGTGAAAGAGTTTGACATTTTTATAATGAGAAGATATATCTGTTGTGTAATAAAGCATAGACTGTTAACCGGAAAGTCTTGAGTTCAGATCCAGGGAATTCGACTTTGAGTCCAAAATATGTTTTTGATTCCACCCCGCTCTGATGGGTACCTGACTCACATTAGGGACATTTTGCCACACTATCCCTTAAAAAGTTAATACGGCGAGGTCACTAAAACATGTGAACTCTACTTCACCTACTATACAGACCACTATGTTCAAAATGTTATATAACAAGCTGTATGTGATATTTTATAAATTAGGATAAATGTTACAACAAGAATTTGTTCTAGACTAAAACTGTATAATCATAATTTTATCTATTGATATTGCTGTTTTCTAAATGGTGTTGAGTAGTATAGCACATGATTATAAATCAGACAGTCTGGAAACCTGCTATAAATGGTTATTTTTAAGATTAGGGCTGGGGTCAGAATTTAGTTACTGTAAAGCTTTGTTTCAAAGCCCTGCTAATGTTCTTTGAAGTATATAAAAAAGGGTAATCTAAAATGTTTAAAATGGTTAACATAGCTTACTTAAATAGGCAACCTTCTTGTAACCCCTGACCTACAGTATTCTACAAATATTCATTAGTAATAATTTCACCTGCAAGCTAAAGGGTTTAGGATACATCGCCTAATTGTATTGTTTCTTATTTTAAAACAGCTTAGTGATAGGTAGGCCTATGCAGGTTATGAATTTTAAAAGTTTTTTTCTAGTATGACAATTTTAGCCAAATAATAGTCCTAGCTGTTTTGTTTTAGAACTTCCAAATCAAGTAGGACAGTTACATTGTTATAAACTAGACAGTAGGCTGAGTAGGCCTATGCCCTATGCACATTGTCAGGTTATATGATATGGTCTTTTTACGAAGTATCCTATGCCCTATGCACATTGTCAGGTTATATGATATGGTCTTTTTACGAAGTATGCAATATAATATATCCTTGCATATATAAAGGTATTGGATATCTAGGTATCGAACAGTTTCAGCAACTGTAGATAGAGTGGAGTCAAGCAGTGTATTGTTCAGTTGAACATTCTGAAATTGAAAGTATGCATTTAATAGCCAAAAGCATTTTTTTTTAAACAAAATGAAATTAACACAGCTGGATCAGCACAACAGTGAATCTGTACAATCCAGTTTGGATGGACCTCAGTAAAGTACCCTGGTTGTGCATGGAGATAATTTTAATATAAAACAAACATCCATGTCTTAAGAAGGAAGACAAAAAAAAAAGAAAAGTAGCTAGATTTCTATTCTAGATCTAAGTTGTAAGGACTGAGGAGTGTCAGTGCTGAGTGACAGTGCAGTTGAGTTTACTAGTTATTGGGTGTAGTGTAGGAATATCCAGAATTTAATATTTTCTGACCAAATATTAGAGCCTTTAAAAATGTAAGGGATCAAAATACATTGAATTACCAAAATGCAATAATTTTCCAAGCTTTCTTCTACTGTATAAAGCTAATATATGATGTTTTTCTAAAAAATTGTTTATGCAAAGAATGAAAACTGTACTTTTGCCGCCATCTTGCGATGATGCGCATGCGCCAGATCCTAGATTAATATAAAACAAGATCTAATATATGTAAAGAAAATATTAATTTAGTAATAATAAAGATTGCATTTAAAATATATTCGTCTAGAAATTAGTATAGCATTTGCATTGCTTATAACACTATTGTTTCAAACAGTATAATACATGATACATTTATTTTTTGTTTGACCCGTCGACAATATTTTAAATTATACGTTTTTTTAATTAACAAGGGGGGAATAAGTCATAAACAAGGAATGTTTCAGTTTTCATTGACGACGATGAATTCATTTTATTCTTTGATAAACGCGTATGATTGAAAGTATTATTATTTTATAAATTTTTAAACAATTGTATATAATATTTAGTAATATTACCGTAATAATAGACACAAGTTTTAAACAATTTTACGGATACAATAAGTAAATTAGCAAATTTATTATTAATTTACGAGCCGACCCGCGGCGTATCATATGCCGCTATTTTTTACTAACTATTTTTTAGATCTAGACTAGATCTAGTAGTAGATCTATTTAGTTGTTTTATTTTCTACTCTTCAGTAATTCATAATTTGTGAATTCGACAGCACCAATGTTGCCACTGAAAATATTTGCTTTAAAACACTATCAGTAGGTCGTTAAACGGATGATAACCCCCCCCCCTCCTTTCCCCCAACCCCAACCCCAAAGTAAATTATAATTTAAAAATTAACTCTGGAACTGTGACACAGTCAAACTAGTGACAAGTCACAATGACTTGAAATTTATTTTAATCCTAATGTTTTTTCTGTTCATATTTGTTCAGGCCAGGCAGTAAAATAAATCTAAAGTTCCCCATCCAAACCTGACGGTCTATGGGGCAAGTGAAGTAGAGTTCACATCTTTCTCTGACCTTGGCATATGAAGAATTAGTGGAGTCAGCACTATGCCCAGCTGCCTTTACTTTTCCCGAACATCCAGAGCTGGGTGGACGGTCCACTGACTTGAACCCAGATTCTAACTCAAGACTTACGAGTTAGAAGTCTAGCTCTCTATCACTCGGCTACTCCATCCCTAAATAAAAATGAATCTATTAATCCTAAAAGTAAAATATTAATAAATAGTAAGCATGGCCAGGCCTAAATACATTGAAGTAGCCTAATAATTATTAATTAGAAAGAGAAAAAACCATTTTTTTCTTATTTTGCATAGTAGTAAAGGTACCATTTCAAACCTTGTGGTCAATAGGGTAGGTGTAGAGTTTATCTGTTTCTTTGATATCAGCATATAAAGAAATGGTGTGGTCAGTTCTATGCCTCGTCGCCTTTGCTTACCCAAATGTTAGTCAGGTACTCATAAGAGCCTATTGACGCAGATTTTGCAGTCATGCGCTCTACCACCCAACCATGCCATCCAATTTATATTATGATAAAAATATTTACAAAGCTGTTTACAAGGCTGATGCAGTTGTTTTTTTTCAAAGTTTATTTATAACTTTAAAAGCTGTTAGTAAGTTTATTACTTGTCGAATTACTTGGTAGGCCAGACTTTCATATAGCCTACTTTTGCCAGGAAAAATAACACAACTCAAAACCTGCCCTATTTGAAGTATCTGTGATTTTTTTGTTATACTATCACTATATAATTATCTATTATATGTGTGGTTAATCCATAAGAACCAATAATTGTAGATATAGTTTGGATTAATTAAGTTATCGTTAACAATTATTACAACTCAGTAAAAAAAAAAAAAATTTTTTTCAGATTTTAGTGAATTTTAAAAGGGAAATTCAGCTGTATGTGAACATTATCATTATGACTGACACAATAGAAATCTTGAAGTGTGGAGTGCGCTTTGAACCCCCCACTTTTGTGCTCACATATAAAGATAGAAAGACCGGAAAGTTTAGGCGTCGCTCAATGCCTTTACGGAACTTCAACAAACTTACTAGCATCGACACAATAATCGAGGATTTAAAATCAAACCCTCGCCATTCTAAATTTGTAAGACTGCTTTTACCAGCCCAGCTTCAGCGTTTGCTTACTATTGTTAAAGACAAGCTCAGTGGCCTTAGTTTAGAAGCAAGTATCGCTCGCAACGATGCGATGGACACGCTTCGCCCGGATGAAAATTTGAACAAAGTTGATCCTGAAACTCTTCAGAGGAAAAAGTTAGTTATGGATTTATCTTTTGAGAAGAAGAGAAAAAAGCCAGGGGATCCAGATTTTCAGTACAATGTTGAAGTTGATTTTGAACCTGTGGAAGTCAAAACAAGTGAGTGGGACTCAGGGGAGTCTGACATTGACTTTTAGTCGGCAAAACTGCAATGGCTTTTTATAAGTACATATAATGAACTTTAATTTTGTGATGCATAAATGATGTAAATAATGAATATATAAAACACAAAGCTATAAATCCCTCTGACTTCCATAAATCCAGTGTCATATTTAAACTGGTGTATTTTTATATATAATTGTATTATATACATACTCTTTTCATTCATTGTATTTTTAAATGATATAGCATGTACCAGGTACTATTTAAAAGTAGTTTAGCTTCTTTATATTGATTTGGATAGTAAATTAAATTTGTGTACGCTCACAAATTTAAAAATAAAGGTGCTGCTTGATAGTGAATTGTTATTATCTAAGTATGGTTGTTGCTAAGTGGAAGTTAATCTTCACTTTCAGCTTGGTAAAAATATTAAGAGTTATTATTTAAATTAATCTAATATAATTTGGATCTCCCACTTCACTGGGTGGTGTGGTTGTGTTATTTCTGATGTTTATTTTTTTTTTTTTTTTTTTCTGTTTTCAAATGCCTTCATAACATCAGAACCAGAGTGAAAGGGATGCATGTGTAATGTTAATGATTACACCCATCACAGATAGATATGTGAGCTGTACCTTGCCATATTGTATTGTTAAGTATCTCTTTAGAAGCTAAACCTAACCCTGTCTTTGGTAACTAACAGTACTCAATAATGGCATGTATTTCTAATACTCTGTTTAATTAATGCAATAATAAACATGTTTGATTTTCAAAAGTAAATTTGGTTTTGGTTTTTTCACAGTTGAGCCTAAAGGCAAACATATTCCCTCTCTTCAGAACTCTCATTTGTTTTTTAAGTCCGATTACCTCCCCTTAATAAAAAATAATATTTTTCTTTAGGGACCATACCATAATAAACGACGTTATACTCCTCGGGAGGGTGTTCGGAATCTTGTGACGGTGTGAGAAGGGGAAAGAGTACAGAAATATTGACGTTTGATTTTAGCTATTACTAGGCATACTGCCTAGCTTCGCTTAGGATTTCAAAATTAAAAGAAATTGAATGATTAATTAATAGGTGATTGGCTGTTATGTTAAATGCCAAGGGCCTAAATTTGTACAGTGGAATAATTTTAAGTTACCCAAATACTGATGGAATATTCGCAAACTTATTACTCGCATGGTTATTAGAACTGCAAGGGGTTTCTGAATAGTATTAATCAAATATTATAATAAATTACTTTCGCAATTAATTTTTACATTTTCAGTACACTGCAAAACTTAATTTGTAACAAAATATTTATTTAAAACAATGCTATACTTTATGATTTTTGTTTTTTTCTTGAAAAGAGTATACAAAATATTTAAAAATTAATAATTTAAAAGGTTACCTCCCCTGTTCATAGACCAAATGACCAAATCTCGTATAATGAGAATTTCATTCGCAGTCATTTTTAGCCCTCTTCGAGGGCTTTGATGCTGACCAACAGTTTTTCCATACGGCCCATTCATCTATAGAGGTGTATGCAAAAAATTAGCCAATTATACAAAGAGTAAGTACCCTAAAATTTGTGTAGAAATTACCCTGTTTTCCCCATAAAATACAAAGATTATATAGGGAAATACGACTGGTCAGTTTTGACCCCTTTACGAAGTTTTCCCGGACATGGCGAGTTTTTTGTGACACCCCAAGGCGTTCTCCAACCACCTCACAAAATTTCAAGGGGGGTCGTCGGAGGAAATTGTTTTTCGTAATAGAGCTCATATAAAGAGAATTTCACTCGCGGTCACTTTTTAGCCCTCGTCGAGGGCTTTTAGTCAAACCGATAGGTCTGCCCTACGGCCAAGCCATTTACCTATAAGCATGCCAAAACTTAGCCAGATGTAAAGAAGGTAAGTGCCCTAAAATCCGTTTTGAAATGACCCTCTGTTTTCCCCATAAAATACAAAGATTATATAGGGAAATACGACTGGTCAGTTTTGACCCGTTTCCCGATTTTTCCCGGACATGGCGAGTTTTTTGTGACACCCCAAGGTGTTCTCCTACCACCTCACAAAATATCAAGGGGGGTCGTCGGAGGAAATTTTTTTTCGTAATAGAGCTCATATAAAGAGAATTTCATTCGCGGTCACTTTTTAGCCCTCGTCGAGGGCTTTTAGTCAAAACGACAATTTTCCCTAAAGGTCAAGCCATTTACCTAAAAGTATGCAAACAATTAGCCAGATATACTGAGTTTAAGTACCCTAAAATCCGCGTTGAAATGACCCTCTGATTTTCCCATAAAATACAAAGATTATATAGGGAAATACGACTGGTCAGTTTTGACCCGTTTCCCGATTTTTCCCGGACATGGCGAGTTTTTTGTGACACCCCACGGTGTTCTCCTACCACCTCACAAAATTTCAAGGGGGGTCGTCGGAGGAATTTTTTTTTCGTAATATAGCTCATATAAAGAGAATTTCACTCGCGGTCACTTTTTAGCCCTCGTCGAGGGCTTTGAGTGTAACCGACAGTTTTCCCTAAATGTCAAGCCATTGACCTAGGAGCATGCAAAAAATTAGCCAGATATACTGAGCTTAAGTACCCTAAAGTCTGCGTTGAAATGACCCTCTGTTTTTCCCATAAAATACAAAGATTATATAGGGAAATACAACTGGTCAGTTTTGACCGCTTTACGAAGTTTTCCCAGATATGCCGAGTTTTTTGTGACACCCCTAGGTGTTCTTCTACCACCTCACAAAATATCAAGGGGGGTCGTCGGAGGAAATTTTTTTTCGTAATAGAACTCATATAAAGAGAATTTCACTCGCGGTCACTTTTTAGCCCTCGTCGAGGGCTTTGAGTGTAACCGACAGTTTTCCCTAAATGTCAAGTCATTGACCTAGGAGCATGCAAAAAATTAGCCAGATATACTGAGCTTAAGTACCCTAAAGTCTGCGTTGAAATGACCCTCTGTTTTTCCCATAAAATACAAAGATTATATAGGGAAATACAACTGGTCAGTTTTGACCGCTTTACGAAGTTTTCCCAGATATGCCGAGTTTTTTGTGACACCCCTAGGTGTTCTTCTACCACCTCACAAAATATCAAGGGGGGTCGTCGGAGGAAATTTTTTTTCATAATATAGCCCATATAAGGCGCCGGTCAGTCGAGGTCAGTTTTGACCCCCTCTCCGTCGACTTTTCGGCCAACCGTCACCGGCCCTCGTGTTCTATCGACCCAAGGCACCATCGTGCCAAATTTGACGCGCCTGCGGCGCCGGGAAGTGCCCTGTCGGGCACCTGACCACTTTGCTTTATATATATAGATTTCAATATTTTCATGTTTTAAAAAGACATTTTTGTAGTATAAATGTATCGATATACTTAAACTTTGATCGAACTGTGTCGATAACTTAGAAAGACATCGCTAGATTTTTTAAAAATTTACTCAAAGGTGCGCGCGTGTATGCCGAGGCATGACGTCATTTTATGAGAGGTCTGTCTTTTTGTGACAATGGGGAGGGATCGTTTTAAAAATCATGACGCCTTTTATGGATGAGCCCTTACCCATTGAGGTATACTATGTTTCGTCACACTTCATCTTTTCCCATTGGTGCCATAGACACATGGTGCAGATGAAGTAGAGTTCATCTGTTTCTAGAAACCTCGACTTTCAGTGGGATAATGAGGTCATCAAATGTCCAGCCGCTAAGTTTCCCTAACTTGAGTCAGGTGCCCATCATAGCTGGGTGGACTCTAGAACGGCCTACAGACTCAAACATGGGATTCGAACTCGAGACTTTCGGTTTTCATACATGCAGGACAGGAAAATAGTTTTCAATGGCATTTTTGTTTTGTTTTATAATTTTATAAATTGGTCTGCCAATAAGCATCAGATTGCTTGGCATCTACATCCGATCCCATGATCCAAACTAAGATGAAACAAGTTAATAAAAAGTCTAGTGACAATTTAAGCGCAATTTCCTTATTTTATCCATAACAATTTTTAATTTTTTGTAAATATCATCCTATAAATATAAACTCCTACACGATGCTCAGTTTAAATCATCCTAGGCCTACACGATGCTCAGTTTAAAATATATTAAAAAACATTTTGTGACCGAACGAAAGGATATTTTTGAAAACTTTCTTCGGCAATATTGTTCTAAAATATGGCAGGAATCGATTGGTAAATGTTTCAAGTCGCTAAGTAGTCTGGTTGCCGAGATATGGAGCAAAAACTGCATTTGTTCGAGGTTTTTTGGCTTTTCCGGGAAATCCAGGAAGGAATTCCGGGAATTTTTTTGGCCCACAATCATCAATGGAACTTGCTTAACATATTTGCTTTGGAACTAGTCCTCGATATTGCTTTGTTGAGGAGGAGATATGACTTAAACTTACGGACATACATCCACACATCCATACATCCACCCATCCATCCATCCAGAAATGACGCATTATTAAACGCAATTGCCAGTATGGAAATTGCGCTAAAAATTATTGCTTTACACATTTAAACTTTTTTTTTTCTATAAGGAAGGGGGGGGGGCGTTAAAAAAAAAGTCACATTACTAAGGCCTATACTTAGTCGTCCCGTCGAGATCCCCCCCCCCCCCCACACACACACTAAAATAAAGTCACGTTGTTCAGAGGCATAACTAAGGGAAGGCGGGGGGATGGACTACCCGCATGCCGACACTCAGGGGACACCAACACGTTGTTGAATTTCTGAATTACACAAAATCGATATTTTGATAAGAGTACAGACTGATACAAGGCTATACCAGAGGCGTAGCGAGGGGGGTGACGGGGGGGGGGGGGACATATGTCCCCGGGCGCCGACCTTAGGGGGGCGCCAAATTGAAAGTTTGAGAGGGGGGGGGTGCAAATGAAAAGTTCGAAGGGGGTGCAAATCGAAAGTTTGAGGGGGGGGGGGGTGCAAATGAAAAGTTCGAGGGGGGGGGGGCGCTAATCGAAAGTTTGTCCCCGGGCGCCGGGAGGGGTCGCTACGCCTCTGGGCTATACACACTGATTCAACTATTATCATCATCGTTTGTGTAACAGGAAACATTTACGTACTCGAGAAAATGACCGGTAAAAATATCTATATAGCCTACACATGTGGGGGGTGGGGGCGCAAAACTGATAGATCGCACCAATCGCAGGAATTGGTCGCTACGCCTCTGCATAATTTAAAGCCACGCCCCCTTTAAAACCTAACACTTCGTACGAAAAATGAAGGGCTCGAGTGTAAAATATACAAGACGACGTGGTGAACTGTTAAACGGGATGGGATAGAGAGTAATTACATAACGTTAAGGGTCTAGGACATTATCCACATGTTAATTACCCCACTTCGAGTAATTACCTCCCTCACTCTTAAGCAGTGTTTCTTCCAGGCATCTCGAAAACGTCTACCGCCCCACCCCCACCCCCTCCGAACAAAATAGAATTTTTATAGAAAATATATACTTTTACCAGTGTCCGCCCCCCCCCCCCGGAGATTTTGGTCCTCCCCCCCCCCCCCCCCCACCACCACCACCGAACATTTCAAGAACAAACACTGCCTCCAAAGTTGCAGTTTTTGTTTTTAAAATAGCGATTTTATTTCTATTCATATTTAAAGAGTTAGGTCAATATTTAGGGTTTTAAATTCGAAAGTGGGTTGCAAAAACAAATTAAAATGTCATTTGAGCTGCATTTTTGCATTATAAATAGTTTGATGGGGGGGGGGGGTGCAAAGCGAAAGTTTGAGGGGGGGGGGGTGCAAATTAAACGTTTGTCCCCGGGCGCCGGGA